TTGTCAAGGTCCACAATTACACTGATAAAATGTTAAGTCAAATGAAAGACCAGTTTAATGTTGCCCCTTTCGAGTGTCAAAAATGTTCCAAGGCCTTCACACGCAACTCCAATCTCAAAGCCCATTATGTGTCAATTCATAACTTTTCACAGGAACAAATAAAGCGGATGAAAATTAGGCCTAAGCCCATTCACAGACTCCTGGATAGTGATGCAGGGAGCCCTTGTCCGGTGTCAGAAACCCCCAAACCAGTTAAAAAAATTCAACGTGTGGATGCACGCAAACCGCCGAAAGATGCTAAATGTTCTTCAGGTATCAAGAGAGAATTTAATGTCAAAAAGTCACGTTGCATTGTTCCGTTGCTAGTCCAGAAACCTTCTTTTGTGCCTCAAGTCGAAGGTCCTGCATTGGCAACACATACAGTAACACCGCAAGCTCAGTTGGCTGTTCAGCCTTCGGTGATCGTGTCTGGCTGTTCTTCGGTGACTCCAAGAATGGATCCGAACGCAAAGGGATGGTTTCCCACAAAGTCTTCTGTTTTTGGTCAAACCCATGTGTCGCCACTTAAAGAGATACTGCCCATTGCTCCTTTTACCCAGAATCCTTGTGCCCCAGTACAGACGTTAAATCAGTCATTGGACAAAAGGCCCAAACTTAGCAAGCCTCGAGTGGCAAAGCCAAAAGAATCTCCCAAAAAAACAAAAGATAAAAAAGCAGAGATCGATGACATTTTTAGTCCTTATAGACCTTATCGTTGTGTTCACCAGGGCTGTGTGGCAGCTTTTACAATCCAACAGAATTTGATCCTGCATTATAAAGCCGTGCATCAGTCGTCTTTGCCTAAATTTGAGGTCAACAGCCAAGATGAACAGAGCGAAGAGGAGGTCGAGGACAAGGATGGAAATGAGGAGAGTGAAGACAAGTTGGACGTGGACATGAAGGAAGTGGATGAGCTCAGGTGTCAAGTCAAAGACTGTTCCCGCATTTTTCAGTCCGTTACAGACTTGCTCCAGCACTACCTTCTTCTCCACAAGTTAACCCTTGAGAAAGCAGGTGCCTGGTTGTGCAGTATCAACCTAGGCAGGTTTCAATGTGATCAGCCAAACTGCTCGGAGACCTTCACTGCTTTCTGGAAATACATCAGCCATGTCGACAAAGAGCATAAACAAACCAATCCCTCAAAAGTTGAGCCCATAGAAGGGATGTACAGATGCCAGGTGGAAGGATGTCAATGCGCTTATAGCACACGCTCAAATCTACTGCGGCACACCATGAAGAAACACCAAGAGGTGTACAAACGGCTGCTCATGAACCCTCGAGAAGGCGGGAGTGGGATTAAACTGGGTCGTCCCAGGAAGTGTGAAAAGATGGAAGTTGTCGAGAAGGAAAACAGAGAGACTAACAAGAAACCCGTCAAGAAGGTAGCTATCAAGAAGGTAGCTATCAAAAAGGCAGCTATCAAGAAGTTAGCCATCAAGAAGGTAGCTCTTAAAAAGAGGAAAACTAATAAAAGTAATTGGACTAAGTATGGGAAACCTATTTTGAAAACCCAGGAAGAGGCCGCCGCCATGTGCACGAAACGCTTACAACTGCAGTACGCTTGCATGATCAAGGGCTGCGAAACGGTGACCAGTTCTGAGCGAAATATAATGAAACATTACCTTCAGCATGGGCTCCCAAAGCAGTACCTGGAAGAGCAGAGGAGCAACTTCATCTACTGTAAAAAGATACCCCGGTCCAAGTACAAGCGCATCGCTTCCCGGAGCGACGACACGGACAAGTCCGAGGAGAGCTCCATTGAGACGACCGAGAACGATGAGGTCGCTGAGGTGGGCCAGAGCGAGTCCGAGTTCTCCAAGCCTACGTCTGAGAAGGAGAGCACGGAGGACGTCGATCTGTCAGACAGCAAGCCTTCGGACACCTGCTCGGAGATATCGGTGGTGGTCAAGCGACGGAGGGGGCGTCCGCGCAAGATCGACTGTTTAAAGAAGAAGTCCTTGGGCCCTAAAAGGGTGACGAGACCGAGGACTGCGAGGAGTTGTGCAGTCAACTATGTGGACCTGAACACCGATTCCATGTCCTCCAGCGCTACCATGACACAGGACGACGTGTCTGGTCAGAACACCCTGCTGAGTTCGTTCAAGCCCATTGGATTTGAGGTGTCCTTTCTTCAGTTCCTCCAGGAAACAAAGACGTCCCATAAGAGAAAGGCAACGGTACCGCTGAACGGAAGTTCGCACAAAAGACTGCAGACTGCTTTCCACCTAAAGACTGCGACAGTCGTGTGCAAACGATCTGACGCACAATTGCACTCGAGAGATGTCGTCAAGCTTGTGGAGTTTAAAAATCCCCAGAAGTTGACCTCCCTCAGCAATGTCACATTTGAGGTGCAAAAAGTTTTTTCCGATGTCCTTGAAATTCTTCTTAAGCAGCTTCATGAAATGCGACCCACAGTTATCCTTGAAAAAGACAACTAGTGTACAGACCCTCGTGTCATGTTGTCTGAACTCAGGATAGATGTGGTGATGAACTTGCTGCAAATCAGTGCCCAATCATTAGTTTTTAACTGGAGGTCGTTTACCTCTATCCTGACGCGACTGCTGTAAGATGGTCGCTTGTCGAGGAGCTGTGGGGACGTTCTGTGATCTGAAATACACTACACCCACATCTTAAATGCCCCCTAGTGCGATGTTTATTACTTAACAGAACTGTGTAAGTTTAAGCTCACTTTATAGTTGCAGTAGATGATGAAATACCTCTAAAGCATGTTCGTCCTTATGAAGCTGTTCAGCACATTTCTGTTGCCTTTGGAGTTTTTTTTTTATTTCCTTTTTTGAGTATTGTATAGACTCGTACTTTTTAATATTCCATTGGACTCTTTTTCTATCCAGCTGAAAGTGAATTATTATCAATTCAGATGTTATGTAGTGCTGTGTAATAATTCGTAACTGTTTTGGTCCTTGTAAATCGGAAATTTGTCAACAATGTTGTGTGTGGCGCTTTGATCAACTACTGCCACCAGCAGTCTGTATGTTAATCAATAGCAACCAATTTAATACAGCTTGCATTTTGTTACTCCGTGTTGGTCTCGTCCTTAAAGGCACAGTCGTATGATTTGGAACGGTGATTGTGATGTCCAATATAATGCTGTGTTTTCTTGAATACATGGTTATGCATAGAGTTACAGGGACATTATAATGTAAACATGGTTTTTAGAGATTGTGTCCTAACGATCACTGTCCCACAGGTGGTACATTTTTCCCATTATATGTTTATAACAATAATATCTTTGTAAAAAACTTTAAATAATGTTGACAAACTATATATCATTTAAAAGCTTACAATCTCTTATTTCCATATTTTCAACCAATTTTCAAAATAGATAGCTGTAATTTATCAATTTGCAGCAAGAATATTTTCATACTCCTAAGGTGTGTTCAGACCGGTATTTTGAAATAGTGAAAAATCATGAAAAAATGGTAGAGACCTCAGTTTGTTTTCATGCCAAGATTTCAAAAGATTGCATCCATTCAATTATTTTAGAAAAAAAGGTCTGAAAATGTTTTAAATATAAATGTGTTGCTGTGTGCGTGTTCTTTGTATGTTTCTTAGAGGTTGAATTTCCCGTACTACTTCTTAATAGGATGCCTACTTCATAAATTGTATGAAAATTGTGGAAATGATGGTTTAGATCACTCAAAACATGTATGGAAATGGAGGTGCCCTTATATGGGCAGTAATGGAGTCTGGTTGTGCCCTAGTGGAAGCGTTCGGTACTGCGCTCAACAACATCTCACTGAAAGCTCATGTACTGAGATATCAACCTAACATTTTAAACTTGTTCAGAATTTTACTTTTGATTCTCCTGCAGTTTTAGTCGCCCAGGTTTTGAAAATATATATTTTATATAAAATATGAATAATTAATTATTTTACATTTATTTCCATAAACTCAAACTTCTATAACTTTTTTTCTACTTCACTTTCATAATTTATTTCACTTCTACAAAAATCTGCCTCTTCTTTAAAACGAGACCAATCTTACATCCATGTTCCAAAGCATTCTTGAATTACAACCATATAAGTTTGAAATGTGCATTTCCATGTCTATTCAAAAAAAGGGCGGTGATACTACAGCTTACACGCTAAACAGTGTTTTATTGAAATTCTAGGAAAATATGATTAGCTCAGTACAAAAGCCATTATCATACAAACAGACATTGTTTATAATACATTGATAGAGGAATAGATTTTAGAGTCTGACACAAGGGTGAATGAGACTAGGGATGCACCGATATGAACATTTTGTCTGATAATTATTTATATTTGAATGCCGATAACCGATATATTGGCTGATATATCTAAATCCTAATTTCTTTTTAATTTTTGAGTGCCTGGGTATAAAAACAGAAGTCTCATGTCCCAATCATACAATTATAATGATGTTCTCATAATTCGGGTCCTTGAAATCCTTGAAAGTTTATGAATCTGAAAAAAAAAAAAAATATTCAAGGCCCTGGAAAGTTTTTGAAAATAAATATACATAGATATAGGTCCTTGACAATGCTTAAATTTGTTTTGTGCAAGAAGTTATCTGGAATAAAATCCAAATTATTTGTATTTTATATAGGCTAATATTAATATTTTACCAACAATTCATGGCCTTTACATACTAGCTTGCTTGATTTACATTAGTTACGCGCATTTACGCGTTACGTAAAGGGATACTCCACATTTTTTTTGGAAATAGGCTAATTTAACCACTCCCTTAAACAGTTGAGTTTTACCGTTTTCGAATGTTTTCAGCCGATTTTCTGATATTTAGAAGAATATCAGTAACCAGATAGTTTCTGGTCTCATTGACTTCCATACATATAGTATCCTACTATGGAAGTCAATGACACCAGAAACTGTCTGGATAGTGATACTCTTCTAAATATCAGAAAATCGGCTGAAAACATTCGAAAACGATAAAACTCAACTGTTGTAAAATGAGTCTATTTCCAAAAAAAAAGCGGAGTATCCCTTTAAGTGTTTTCTGCGCGAGGTAGTGTTATTTGTTGTTTTGTTTTGCAACAAATGTTATTTGTTGGACAACAGATGTGTCCCACATTAATCCTTCAGTTTGAGGGTTGTTGAACCTGGAAAGTCCTTGAAAGGTCCTTGAATTTAAAGTTAACCAAGGTGTGGGAACCATATGGCAGATTTGTGTTGCACTTGACTGTAGTGATTCCAAACATATTTCAAGCAATTCAAAAACATCATGGAGAACAGTGCGCATCTGAACCGTCTCAGCTGAAGGAAATAATCCTTTATTTACAGGCTTAAATATATCGGCCACATTTTCAATGTAGTGTTGGATAAATCGTTTATCCCTAAATAAGACCCTTCTGTATACATCAGCTCGTCATATCTAGTGGGTATCGCTTTTACAGCGAGTTCTCAAGCCACTCAGTTTCCCACGTTATCTGACAAGGATGTTTATTTTAGACGTGAAAAAGAAGCAGTATTTAAATAAGTGCAGTATAATCCAGTGCTTCTGGGTGTGCATTAGACATTAGCACAATTGTTTATCATACAAAAATTAATCTATTAATACAGAAGTCAACATTTGAGGTCGATCAAAAAAGAACGAAAAGAACAAGAACGGGTATTGTTTAAAACTTTGATGAAAGGTTTTTATCCACTTCAAATGTTGACTGTATTACCATGACCTTTACAGCTCCAACTTATTTGACTCTCAGCTCTAAACACTGTTGTAGAGTAACTTCAGATAAACCTGCATTCAAAGCCATCTGGGTTGTGTTTTGACCTTGGTTTGCAAGAATGAGGACATTTGTCTAATTTGCATAGATTCTAACTCAAATGACGAAATGTATACAATGCAACTAAAGATATGGGAAGTGCTCACTCTTCCCCTTTAATAGTGCATTCTGTCATAGCGACTCATGACTGGTAAGTTATTTGCATTTGAGGCACCAGTGGAAAAGCACAGGTTTGTTCAGCATGAGCATCGCCGCAGTGTTCAGGCCGCAGCGAGTCTGAGGCTGTCCGGCCGGCCCGGGTGAAGACCGTTCTCCTTGGACACGGACTGAAGCTGTGGCGAGCCGAGCCTGAGGCTGTCCGGCCGGCCCGGGTGAAGGCCGTTCTCCTTGGACACGGACTGAAGCTGTGGCGAGCCGAGCCTGAGGCTGTCCGGGTGAAGGCCGTTCTCCTTGGAGCCGAGCGTGGGCGTGGAGGGAGGCCGCACCGGGGCGTACCTCTTGCTGAAGCACTTCCAGCACGTCTTGGACACGATGTACAGCATCTCCACCACATTCAGCACAATGCACAGGATGGAGGTGCAGCCCATGATGTAGAGGAAGATCTTCTTCTCCGTGGCCTTGGCGATGTAGCAGTCGACGGTGTTGGGGCAGGGGCTCTCCTCACACTGGAGCAGCCGGGGCACGTGGAAGCCGCTGTACAGCCAGTAGAAGGCCAGCAGGGTGGCCACCTCGAAGCTGGTTTTGAGGACCAGACTCATGATGTAGGTGAAGAGCAGGCCTCCGTCGATGCTGCCCTTGTCCCGGTACAGCCGCCTCTTGTGCTTGCTCTCTCGGTGCTCCCGGTAGGCCACGTGCAGCGCCACGAGCAGCGACGGCGTGGACACCATGATCAGCTGCAGGGCCCACAGCCGCACCTGCGAGATGGGGAAGAAGTGGTCGAAGCACACCTGCTCGCAGCCCGGCTGCTGCGTGTTGCACACGAAGTCCTTGAACTCGTCCTTCCACACCTGCTCGGCGGCGGCCACGAACACCAGGATGCGGAACACGAAGAGGATGGAGAGCCACACCCGCCCCACCACCGTCGAGTGCTTGTTGACCCCGCTCAGCACATTCTCCAGGAACCCCCAGTTCATGTTTCATCGGGCCGCTGCGGAGGAAACTCAGAGTTACGCGGTCGTCATACACACTCTCGAGAACGGGGCATAGTGGCTCCATGGAGAACCTTTCACTCCTGTGGACCATTCTGTTGCAGAAGATGGTCAAAATACTTATTTTAGGAACTGATAACTGAAAGGTTCTTTGGGGAACCAAAAAATGGTTCTTTAAAGGCAAATCAGGGGAAAACTAGTTATTTATTAGCATCGATGGTTCCTTGAAGAACCTTTAGCTTTCTTGGTATATTTCCGTTGCCCAAGAAGGTCCGTTATAGTGGAAAAAGAAGATTAAAATAGCTATGAAAGGTTTTGGGGAACAAAAAAAGGGGTATTTAATGTCAAATCAAGGGGGAAATGTTCTGTATTGGTATTGATGGTTCCTTGAAGAACCTTTCACTCCTGTGGACCATTCTGTTGCAGAAGATGGTCAAAATAGTTATTTTAAGAACGGATAACTGAAAGGTTCTTTGGGGAACCAAAAAATTGTTCTTTAAAGGGTTAGTTCACCCAGAAATTAAAATTAAGTCATTAATTACTCACCCCCATGCTGTACCAACCCCGTAAGACCTTCGTTCATCTTCAACACAAATGAAGATATTTTTGATTAAATCTGAGAGCTGTATAACTACCACATAGGCTCCTAAGGGATTAAAACTTGACGGCCCAGAAAGTCAATGAAGAAAATGTTTAAATATTCAAGTGACTTCAGCGGCTCAACTATAAGTTTATCAAGCGACGAGAATACTTTTGTGCAAAAAAACAAACAAAAATAACGACTTTATTCGACTATTCCTTTTCTTCCTTGTAGGCCTGAGGCCCCGTCCACACTACTGCGTTTTTGTTTAAAAACGGAGACCTTTTGCTACGTTTGCACCTCCCGTCCAGTCTAAAATGGGAAAAATGAAGACCTAAAACGGAGAAGTTTAGAAACGCTGCAGCTGCGTTTTGCGTTTAAAATCTCCGATTTAGTGTGTGGTCGAGACAAAACGTAGGACTTCAGAAATGTTTTATGATTGGGTGTTATCAGTCATCATGACGTGTCCTTCCCTGATTCGTCAATCCCTGACCGGCACGCGCATGCCCAGTGTTGGTGAATGGTCACGTGATCCGCGTTTTCAGTCGTTTTAATGTGGACGGACATCATTTCTAATACGCAGATAAAACGCTGGTGTGGACGGAGATCGTATTCGTTTTTTAACGAAAACGCAGTAGTGTGGACGGGGCCTGAGACGAGAGTTCAAGAGATTTCCACGACGCATGCGCGAGAACTGAGAAGAGGACGTTCTTCTTCTACTACTTCTTGTTAAGTTCTCGCGCATCCGTCGTGGAAATCTCTCGAACTCTCGTCAAGTTTCGACCCCTTAGGCAGTCTATGTGGTAGTGATCCACCTCTCAAATTTAATCAAAAATATCTTCATTTGTGTTCCGAAGATGAACGAAGGTCTTACGGGGTTGGTACAGCATGGGGGTGAGTAATTAATGACTTAATTTTCATTTTTGGGTGAACTAACCCTTTAATGGCAAATCAGGGGAAAACTAGTTATTTATTGGCATCAATTGTTCCTTGAAGAACCTTTAGCTTTCTTGGAATCTTTCCGTTGCCCAAGAAGGTCCTTTATAGTGGAAAAAGAAGATTAAAATAGCTATGAAAGGTTTTGGGGAACAAAAAAAGGGTTTTTAATGTCAAATCAAGGAGGAAATGTTTTGTATTGGTATTGATGGCTCCTTGAAGAACCTTTCACTCTTGTGGACCCTTTCAGAAGGTCCTTTGGATTATTAAAACACGTTTTTATTTTATTCTACTGAACTGTTCAGCCAGAAATAGTTATTTCAATGGCATTGCTGTGAAAGGGAACCTTTATTTTTAAGTTTGAATCATTAACGTGGACCGTTGTACGAGAGCAAGAGCACTATCCTCGACAGATATCAAGTTGTACTTGTTGCACACATGTTTTCAGAGCAGAACTTTCTGGAACAAACGTCAAAAAATAGCTATATATTTTGTAATTGTTTCTTGTTTTAGGGAACATTCAAAACTAGCGTTCCTGTTTACAGAATGATAAAAGGAAGGTTCCTGTAGCGTTCTCATAACCATGAGAGAAAAAAATGTTTTAATACATTAAGAGTTGACATTTAGAGAACATGCAGAAGTAACATTTTCATAAAACTGTTTCAGAATCAGAATTATTTCACCAAGTGGCAAAGGCAAAAGGCATTTTAAGCTGATAAGGAAGTCCTCACCTGTGGTGTAGTGTGATCCTGATCCCTGCCGCCGTCGTCTCTCCTCTGTGAATGCTATTTGATAGTCAAACACACCTGCCGCCGGAGCCCCACCTGTTTGGTAACTATGCCTCTGGAGTCAGGGAAGCTCTACCAGCTGATGAGCGAGCGGCCAATCAGACGGCTGAGCTGGGAGATGCTGAGCTCATGACCGGCAGTGTTAGCAGTGTAAACAGCGTCGAGTGCAGTGCAAACCGCTCAGACGTGTTCCTGACGGCCTCCATCCACAGCACAGACTCCACACACACTGTCTACAGTGACTCAATCTGAAGTTTATCAAGCGACGAGAATACTTTTTGTGCACAAAAAATAAACAAAAATACTCTCAGCTAAAAATGCCCGTTATTTGACATTTGAATTTAGTGTTTTTTAGACTAATAATGTCTACTTATTTGGGCCGGTCTGAGTATTACACAATCTGCTCAGTTACTGGGATTTTCACGCACAACCATTTCTAGGGTTTACAAAGAATGCTGTGAAAAGGGAAAAACATCCAGTATGGGTCAGTCCTGTGGGCCAAAACGCCTTGTTGATGCGAGAGGTCAGAGGAGAACGGGCCGACTGATTCAAGCTGATAGAAGAGCAACTTTGACTGAAATAACCACTCGTTACAACCGAGGTATGCAGACAACACACACAACCTTGAGGCGGATGGGCTACAACAGCAGAAGACCCCACCGGGTACCACTCATCTCCACTACACATAGGAGAAAGAGGCCACAATTTGCAAGAGCTCACCAAAACTGGACAGTTGAAGACTGGAGAAATGTTGCCTGGTCTGATGAGTCTCGATTTCAGATGGTAGAGTCAGAATTTGGCGTAAACAGAATGAGAACATGGATCCATCATGCCTTGTTCCCACTGTGCAGGCTGGTGGTGGTGGTGTAATGGTGTGGGGAATGTTTTCTTGGCACACTTTAGGCCCCTTAGTGCCAATTGGGCATCGTTTAAATGCCACGGCCGACCTGAGCATTGTTTCTGACCATGTCCATCCCTTTATGGCCACCATGTCCCCATCCTCTGATGGCTACTTCCAGCAGGATAATGACCATGAATCATTTCAAATCATTTCTTGAGCATGACAATGAGTTGACTGTACCAATATGGCCGCCACAGTCACCAGATCTCAACCCAATAGAGCATCTTTGGGATGTGGTGGAACGGGAGCTTCATCCCACAAATCTCCATCAACTGCAAGATGCGATCCTATCAATATGGGCCAACATTTCTAAAGAATGCTTTCAGCACCTTGTTGAATCAATGCCACGTAGAATTAAGGTGAAAGGGGGTCAAACACAGTATTAGTGTGGTGTTCCTAATAATCCTTTAGGTGAGTGTGTATTGTAATGTGAATGTGAGTAACTGTAGAAGTATTCATGTTTAACAGAACTCATTGCCTTTGGTAGTAAAGTAGCATTACAGGTGTGTGTGTGTGTGTGTGTGTGTGTGTGTGTGCATTGTTCCACAGATGTTGTTCCTGAACAGCCATAGAGTCATATGTGATAAAGTGAAGTGTTTTTCCAGTCTGATCCCTGATCAGTCATTAGCATGTGTGTGAAGTGTGTGTGTTCATCTCTCACAGCCAGCACTGGTGTAGAGTAACACGACCGGCAACACATGCAGTTTTAATGACACACCTCGCACTGTTTGAGCTTGAATAACTGATGATCCAGCCGGCCTCTCCGGGCCCTGTGTCCACGTATTCGGCTGGTCATGTGTGCTAAAGCAGACAGCACATACAGTAGCGCAGTGCTTCCGGTCCGGGTCCCCGTGACGTGTCTCGACTGTTCAACACCTGATTGAGATCCTCCATGACCTCAGGTGTGTGTGCCAGATAGGAGACACACACACACACTACAGTTAACTGGCAATACTGTCATTTCAGTCTGTAGCTGTTTATCTGCGGGAGTTCGGCTGGCTTCGTTAAGTTCATCACTTTATACATATTTCAGATTTTTGCAATTACACAAAAGCACTTGGTCAATATAAAATGAAAAATACTCATCTTACCTTTATATAGAGTTTATATCCGTTGACAATTAAATTGGTTGAAAATATTTGGCAGTTTCCCATCGTGGTATAAACCAAATCAGCTGCAAAAGGAGTATATATACCAGATCAACATACAGAAAGCAATAAGAACAAGGTAAAAAGCCCACAGACGGTGTCTAAATGCACATTAATGATTGCTCAATAACACATTTAAACACTCGGACTGAAGCTTCGTAAACACACACTGATGAAATCAATCTAATGTCAACAGGAAACATAATCAACTCTATGGGCTTTACATGAAAGCTCTGCCTTTATTTCCCAGTGCAAGTATTGTTGTAAATAAAGAGGAAAAACCAGAACAACGCATTGGAATATAATCTAAAACATAATAATATAGAGAGATATAAGGACTCTAGTCTGTTGAGCTGATCAAGGTCTGATTGTGATCCGTTTGCCCTGAACTGTGTCAGACTATTGATGGAATGTCAAATAAAATATTGTCTATTAATATTGTCTAAACATTGTCTTATTGTCTTTAACTCTATTTAGATACGCAATATACAGCCATATATTGATTAATAATGCAGGGGGTTTAATCTTGTAGAGGAATGTTTGCGATAGATATATGCTAAAATGCAGATATATACTTTCATGAGTAAAGATATCATTCATAACATCATTATAAAAAGATGAAATCCCTTCACACTCATCGACAGCAGAGAGCGCTGTGTTTCTTTCGTCTTCCTGTGGGACAAAATATCTTGAAGGACACAGAAGGACACGTGACGAGATATAAAGGGTGGAGGGCATGGCAATAATAAATGAAATTCATGGACATAATATCAGCTCTGTGAATGAATAGAATTAGCAGACAGTGCGCGAGGGAGGAACGGAGACTAAAATGAAGCGGCTTAACCACAGAACAGCAGGGGGCGGTAATGCGACATGTGGAGGAGAGCTGCGAAGACCTCGAAGAAGAAGAAGTGTTTACTCTCGTTCAGCGTGTGTTCGGCTGTGATTTCTGCGCTCCGCTCGACAGCTGTGAGTGTGTGAGAGAGTGAGTGTGTGTGTGAGAGGAGATGGGGACCCCCCCGCAGGACGGCAGCGGCAGCGGGGGATCAGGCCCTCGGCAGCCGGACAGCAGCTACAGGAGCCCCGGCCTCCGCGGCCTCAACACCACCTCTCTGTTCCGCGCCGTCAACCCCGAGCTCTTCATCAGGCCGGTGAGTGAACACACACACACACACACACACACACACACACAACAGAAGAAACACACCATCGCTGCTCAAAATCAGCTGACATGACGAGTCGTTTCTATGAGGTGTAAATCATGATTATGAAGTCGAAAGATGACAGCAAACCGAAATTATAACTATAACGAAATTATGATATTACAAAGTACGACAGTCGTTGTTTTAATTTCGGCTTTTTAATCATACTTTCGATTACTTAGTAGTATGTCACAATTTTGAGTATATATTACTAATAATTGTGAATTCATATGTTTTAAATTTTTATAGTTAAGACTACAGCTGATGGACGAGAATAACGTAATTAATTTTCACAATTCACACCATAAAAACTGAAATGGTTTATTCATCTTACCTTTTGTTTTGATTTAAAAACTTAATTAAACTGATGAATTTTAACCACTGAAAGGCTGAGAAAAATAAAACATGATACATAAAAGAGAAAAGTCATTCAGGAACAAAAATAAATGAAAACATGAAACAAAAGTTCCCAAGACATTTTAATGTGAACGTTCTTATTAAAATAAATCAATAAATAATAATATAATAATTATACTTCTATATAAATTAGATGTAGAAACACACATAAATATAAACTTAAAGGAGTAGTTCACTTTTAATAAACTTTTGCTGATAATTTACTCACCCCGATGTCATCCAAGATGTCCATGTCTTTCTTTCTTCAGTCGAAAAGAAATTAAGGTTTTTGATGAAAACATTCCAGGATTTTCTCCATATAATGGACTTCAATGGGGACCAAACGGTTCAAGGTCCAAAAGACACTTTCAGTGCAAACTGTTCAAAGGGCTTTAAACGACTCCAGACGATGAATAAGGGTCTTATCAAGCGAATCGATCGCTCATTTAATAAATTAATAACAACGTTTAAGTTTTATAAGCTCAAATGCTCGCCTTGCTCTGTTCTGTGATGCGCGTTCGTGACTCTCCTGTTCGAACTCGTTCATCAAAATGAACAAATCTTTTTCTGAGTCATTTGGTTCATTCTGTGAACGAATTGACTCGGAAAAAGATTTGTTCATTTTGATGAAGAGTTCGAACAGGAGAGTCACACAGAACAGAGCAAGGCGAGCATTTGAGCTTATAAAACTTAAACTTTGTTATTTATTTATTAAATGAGCGAAAACCTTAATTTTTTTTTCGACAGAAGAAAGAAAGACATGGACATCTTGGATGACATGGGGGTGAGTAAATTATCAGCTAAAGTTTTTTTTAAAGTGAACTACTCCTTTAAAGGACAATCCTGTAATTTGCGTGATTAATTATGGTCAGGTTAATCATTGATCTGATGATGTCATCATGTAACCGTGTTCTCTGCTGTTGTTCCTCTCTCCTGCAGAATAAGGTGGTGATGGCCATGGGTCTGCTGAGCATCACACTGTGTGTGGGCTACATCGGGTATCTGCACGCCATCAGAGAGAGCGACCAGACGCTGTACGAGGCCGTGGACAGCGACGGAGAGAGATACATGAGGAGGAAGACCTCCAGATGGGACTGACCTTCATCATCATCATCATCATGACTGCACCTCACATACATCACACATGAATAATTTATAAACATGAAGTGGATATGTCAGTATAGTGAAAGTCTTGCTCTCTTCCTTTATTTCATACAGTGTGTGTGTGTGTGTGTTAAATTACATTTAGCTGATAAATGTGTCATATATTTATAATCTTTCCTTAGTGAAACGGTCAGGCTTTAAACATGATTTTCAAATATGTCCGTGTTAAGGCACTTTTAAAAGAATTGTGTATTAGAGGTAATGGACAGAACAGTGAAACACATTTGAAGCTTCACTGTTAGTTGCCTGTGTCTGTTCAACACTCAGAGGAAAAGATTGTTCAATAAAATATTTTTGAGACTGTTTACGTGACTGAATCTTCAGTTGAGAGTTCAGTTAGCTTTGTGTGTGTGTGAGAGAGAAAGAGAGAGTGTGTGTGTGGTTCAGTCAGTCTTCAGTTGTACTAATGCGCACAGTCATGTGATCAAACCTCAGGTCATGTGTGTGTGTGATTGTCTGATTGAACAAACTGCTGTTACTTCACTCAGTGTTTGTAAAATCTTTAGTCTGAGACTAAAAACTCTGAACCCAAAGTCTTTAGATGTGAGCTGATAATCTTATAAAGTCTTTTCTAAATCTTTTCAAAGTCTTTTGGTGTACGCCCAGCATTACAATTCTGACTTTTTTCACAATTGTGTGATATAAACTCGAAATTGCGAGTTATAACGCACAAATTGTGAAATATTTAAGTCGCCATTTGCTTTTTGTGTAATTCCATATTTAGATCAGATTCAGTTCACACACTTGGATTTGGACTGAAGTGGACAGAAACGGATCTGAAAGCCCAGCGAGGCTCGAGTGTGTGTGTGTGTGTGTGTGTGTGTGTGTGTGTGTCCAGCAGGAGGCAGTGTTGCTCCTCAATGACGGCACTCACCACAACCCTCACAACAATAATTTTGGGAAAATCAGGTCATAATTGTGTATTAACAACCAAAGATGTTATTATATATTTTGAGTCAAAAACTACGTCTGTAAATGTTATGATTAATCTTATGATTTTATTAGGCACATTTCACATTTATAAAAGTAAATTTAATAATTCTAACCCTTGTTTAAAGGTTTCTTTGGCTGATTTTATGTTGTATGTTCAGTCTCTTAAATGTATAGATAATAAGAAATGCACTGACACAATTGTATTTGCTAAAGAATTGGAAATAATTCAACAGTGAAGATTTATATGTTTCTCTTTTTTTCTCCAATACTGACTGGGTTTGTAACTTATCATACCTATTATATTTACAAATAGTTAAATTTAGCCTCTTTATTTTAATTTTGTTTTTTTAAACTTTTTTTCTTCAATTTCTCTTTATATTTTAGTTCAGTCTCTTGTTTATTAATGTTAAACTAACTTTGGAAAATCTTGGATTGTTGTCTTTTTGGATGTCATGTTATTGTTTGTATGTTTGTCTATGTCTAACCCTCTCAACAATATTTATGTGGCTCTCAGATGGGTCAATACACATTTCTATTTCTCTGGGATTGAACCATGTTGTGCCTTTAATTAATAAATATACTAAAAGAAAATGATAATTAAAACGAATTTGTAAAAAGATATTTGAATATCCTTAATACTTCTTGAGCCACATGCATGCAAGCTATTGATAAAAACGCTGTGTTTTCACAATTGGCATATAATGCAGCATTATAAAGATAATGTCAACAAATTTAACTCAATCTCTGTGTAAACATACAGTAATGAAGCCACCATCTTTCTAAAGTCCTTTTTAAAGCGGGGCCCGAGATGGGTCTTGTGCATGTTGCTCACTTGGGTCTGGTCTAGTACCAATCCTACATGAAATTCCTCTAGGCAATTAACATGGGGTCATTATGTAACCCGCGGGGCCCATCTTTCAGCCCATTTCATACCCATATGGGCCCCACATACATTGGATCTGATGTCAGGTGAATTGTCATTGAAACTAAAGCCGCTCTGGTGTTTCTGTCACAGGATCTGTGTGTCTGAAGAGCTGATTTTCCTGTTCTGTCTGAATCCTGTAACATCATGTGCTTGTGAACTTAAAGACAACTTTTTAAACATCTGTAATGTAAACAGGGATTAGTTTGACCTGTCCAGTTCTACCAGACATGACAGAAAACAATCCACTTTTAGGTCTGATTATCATAAATGTTCAAGGCTTGCCCGTATGGTTTCCTCAAACTGAGTGTTTTTGTCAGCTTATGTCAATAAAGTTACAGAAGGGTTGTTTGTGCTTTTGTAGTTGCACAGATCTGTTTGGAATTTTAAAACAAGGAAATGTTTGATCAGTTATAATTAATTTGTGAATAAGTTAAAAAAAACTAAACCTGTTTTCCTAGGTAAGATTTTTTTTTTGTAATACAGTTTCATACGAAAATGACGTTTTCATACGTTGCTCGTGTTTGTGGGCGTGTTCACGTGTCCCGTGGCCCCGCCCACCGGCTGTCCGTTATAAAGCAGGCGCGCTCGCGGCCGCTCGGCTCCGGGTCACTCAGCGCTGAATGGGCTAAACATGGCGGACACTCTCGAACCCACTCCGGCTCGCACTCTCTCTCTGTCCGCTGCAGGAGCAGTGTGTTATAAAGTTCCCGGAGGAGTGTGTGTGCAAACACAGGCGTCAGATGAGAGAGCGTGAAGCGCTGAAGATGAACGGCGCGCGCGCAGGTGCAGGTGAGCAACAAGTGCTTCTGTGGGACTTTACCGTTTCCGAGAGCGGGTCAACTGTCACTTTACCGTTACCGTTTGAGTCTGTAGAGCTGGTCAACCGTGTTCTCCCCGGTTTGTGGTATATTAGACCGTGTAGTGAGCGTGTGTGTCGCTCCGCGGTGCTGAACAGTGTTTCTGCTCGTGTGAAGATATGAGAGAGAGAGAGAGAGAGATGTAGGGCACCATAATTTGAATCATGCTGTGGTCAATAATGGTGATGACGTCAGTCAGAAGTATGACCTGCTAAGGAATAATTATACTTTTTAAAAAGTCAAAATGATCACATGCTGAAATTATGTGAAAGTTGACGTTTATTATGGCACTCCAAGTTTTTAAAAAGTAGAAAATGGATGTTTTTCTGTGGTGTTGTGGAGCTGGGCTTCAGAGCAGGTCATTGAGGTGTGTGTGTGTGTGTGTTTCAGGGGTCCCGAGTCCTTCATCCCCGTCCCGGCCCTCAGAGCATGTGCTGAACTCTGGTGCGGTCGTGTTCCCCGGTAAGAGCCGCCGGATCAGGTGTGTGTGAGTGTGTGTGTGTGTGTCTCACGAGTGTGTGTGTGTGCAGGTGTGTTTGACCAGCACGGCTGTCCTCTGGTCCTGTTCCCCGCTGAGGCGCAGTGTAAACTCACCGAGGAGCTGAGCAGAGAGGAGGTGTCTCACTTCATACACTACTGTCTGCGCCTGCACAGGTAACACACACACACACACAGTAACCAGGTAAAGCTCAGTCTTCACTCATTCCTGACGTGTGTGTGACTCTGGTGTGGAACAGTAGATGTTTTGAAGAATGTCCAAGCTGCTCTTTTCCATAAAACAGTGTGTGTGTGTGTGTGGGGAGTCATTCTGAGCTCCACAACGGCACCATTAACCTCTAATGCAGTTTAATGTCTTCTCTGATTGTTTGTGTAGTGTGTGTGTGTGTGTGTGTTTGGCACTAAACCTGCTCTCAGGCGTGTGTGTGTGTGTGTGTCTCTCTGTGGAGCTCATGCTTCAAATGCTTTTAAGCTGAAACCTGGTGCAACCGTCAGAATGACATTTTTCACGTTCCACAGCAGAGTCATGTGTCATCCTGGTGATTTATGAGTGTTTTTAGGACCAGTTCTCCTAAAACTGAAAATGAAATGAATTCGTTCACCCCCCCCCCCCAATGCCATTCAAGATGTTCATGTCTGTCTTCAGTGTCTTGAAAAATATATGTTTCCTAATACTGCACTTTACCCTCCCTCTCAGTGAACAGAAGCATTGTTGATGCTGTTTTTCTGTTGAGGTTAAACTAAGTTGGCAGTTTGATAAATGCAAGTTAATTTCAATCTTTGTGTGCTAAAACTGCACATAAGTTCCTGTTCCTGTAGTAGAGATACACATTGCTTTATTTGCCAAATAAACGAAAAGCATGTCCTCAATATATTCTGTCTTGCTGAATCAATCTCCCCTAGCTTTCCTCGGAGATGGTCCCGATAATGTGCTTAAAGTCAAGGCAAATTCAGTTTGTGCACAAATATCTTTTTTTTATTTTTTTTTTAATACTGTATACTAAATTTGTGGATAATTAAGCTGTGGATCATATGCTGGAGTACATTTCTGGAGTTTTCAAGATTAAAGCAAAAAACTACAAGAACCGAAAACCGTGACACGAACCGAACCGTGGGTTTCATGAACTCTGCCGCCCCTATTCAACACACAATAACACTTGAAGGATTCTCCTCCGCCACGCTTGTAAACAATGGGGCGGGACTTCACCTACGTCCAGCGTGACCTTTCCAACAGGGTTACACAATGCCTGACCAGCACAAGACCAACAACTGTGGTTAAACTATTTACGTTTATTTATTTTATTGTATTTTTTTGTTTATTTAATTTTTTTTTTTAGAAAATAAGCGATGTGTTTATCCCAGCAGAACGGCACATTTATGTGTGTGAGCAGTTCATCATCTTTTTCTTCACCAAGTGCTTTTATAGTGACGTGAAGCAGCTTGGCCTTTGTTTCTGGTAGGGTTGGGTATCGAGAATCGAGTATCGATTGGAACCGAGACTAACTTTTCATTTTTCCCGGAATCGTTCAAAAGTTAAAATTCCGATTCCTAGTTTCGATATTCACAGTCCGCCGAGCGGAAGAAGAAACCGCTGAACAACACCAACGAAGAAGCGTCTACCGGAAGTGTTGGCATAACCACGCGAGTCGAACATGAGTAGCTTACGTCGACGATCCAAAGTGTGGCTTCACTTTTCTAAAAATAACGAAATCTCGGCAAAATGCAAAATTTGTGACAAAAGGAGTATTTTTACAGGAGTATTTCCTTCAGAAAGGCCGTTGGTTAGCAATGTTAGCTAAACTTTTTTGACCCTGCCTCTTAAAAGAATCGCAATCGAGAATCGCTAGGAATCGGAATCGAAACAAGGAATCGGAATCGGAATCAGAATCGTTCAAATTCAAACGATACCCAACCCTAGTTTCTGGTGAACCTCACCACATGAGTGTGAGTGTGTGTGTGTGTGTGCAGTATCCGGGGTGAGGGCGGCCTGCTGTCTGTGGCGGTGGACCTGAGACGAGCTGATCTCCCCATCACACGCTTCATCACGGACACTCTTCTGCTGATGGAGGTATTCAACACCACACGATCACTACACTTCATCATCACTCCTCAATTACTCCTCATACCAAGGTTATTATAGTTTTGCTTTTTAAATTAGTTTTTATTTTAATATTGTTTTTAATTTTGCTTTATATGTTCATTAATGCGAGTTTTTGTTTTGCAAACCCATTTCTATATAGTTTTTATTTATGTAGTTTTAGTTTATTTAGACCGTGGCCGCTGTGATTGGTTTAAACATGACTGTGAATGGGTCTTGTGAAAGATCATCTGAATAACTTTTCCATCATTGACGTCAAACCCGGCGTGATGCGTCTTCATGTGCCAAGACTTAACATGCAGCATTACTGGAGCCGCGGCAGAGCACCTGGACACTGAGGGATACGCGTGTGTGTGTGTGTGTGTGTGTGTGTGTGTGAGCTCTTCCTCCGAGTGTGTAGTTTCCCTGGCGTTGAGTCTGAGGATCACATGCTGCTGTCGGTCACATGTCTGATCTCGTACTGCACACATGACTGACGTGTGTGTGTGTGTGTGTGTTGCAGTGTGAGCGGAGGATCATCCACTCGGTGTACATCGTTCAGCCCAAGAAGAGAGAAGTGCAGAAGCAGCTGGTGAAACTGCTGAGCTCCCGCGGGTCCAAGCGGCGCCGGCCCGTCCTCTTCAGAGTGAGTTCACACACACACACACACTGTCCTCTTCAGAGTGAACACACACATATGAATGTGGCGGCTCTGAACTATTGTTATGTGAATATCCCGCCCCTAAAACCCCTGATGTAGATCCTCAGCCCTAGAGTTGAACATGGAGAGGAAGCAGTCTCAGAGACACCGACCCCAAAAACACTGATAACCTTGTAGATGCAAACAAACATTCATTTGGGTATTAAATACTGGTACATTAAACTAAACATTTACTAACATTAGCCACTAACTTGGCTATTTTCCCTTTACTCCACAAACCACTCCTTCAAATGTCAGAACAGAGCAAAAATTACAAATAAGTAGCTATAAATTGTTAAACCATGAAATCAAACTGAGGCTTTCATTATGAACACAAGCGTCAAGCCGGCCTGAATCTAAAGGTGAAACCAGGGCCCTATAAAATCCGTTTTATTTTTTCCCAAATTCCGTTTTTTCTATTTTAATTTTTGCAAATTCCATTTCCGTTTTAATTTTTGGGAATTCCGTTTTTTTTTTTTTACCCTTTAATGTTATTTTTTTTGTAAAAAGAGCTTTTAATGTTAATGATTAAAATGTCACAAATAAAATAGGCATTTACTCTTAAAATGACAAATACTGCATGATGCAGCATAACACCGCACTGTTGAGCGTGCGGTCTCGTCTCGGACACACACTCGGTCCGGCACCTCATAGACAGACGTGCACGGAGGGGACTTTGAGTGTGTGTGCGATGAGTTTCTTAACTTTTCCGTCGACGAAAGCAGAGCCGCGGAGAGCCGCTTCGCCATGCTTTCAGTGGAAACGCGGCTGTTTTGATGCCGTCATGAGCTGAAATGACGGGAGGGGTTGTGTCGCACAGATTTGCTTCCCCGTCTCTCTGCATTTTCCCCTGACATGCGTTCTTCTCACACACAAAAACCCAATTTCATTCCAAATATGTAAATTCCACATTTACACTAGATTCTGCATTAATTGGCCAATTCTGCCATCTCTGAAATTATCGGGCCCTATGAAACTGTACGCCGTGCCCTCTCCTAATTGGTCTCGGATCCAGATGTGTCTATATTTGCTGTGTAACGGTTGTTTTGCTGAATCATGTAAAGCAGGCTGTACTCCTCAACAGCATCCTTCACACACACACACACACACACACACACACACAGACAGACATGTGCTTCAGCTCGTGTGTGTGTGTGTTTCCTCCATCCCCGAGCGCTGTGAAACAACCCTTTCATTACATGAGGATAACTCCAGAGCATATTATAAATCTGTCCCCAGTGCAAGTTATGACGGCCGCTGTTTAATCGATCATGGTGTGTGTGCTTGTGCTGTGTGTGATGGGGTAGGGTGTGTGTGTGTGTGTTGGTCACACCAACACAGCCACCGCTGGTCAAACACACACGAGGCTGAACACACGCTTCTTTAATATGAGTAAGATAAGTATTTTAATATGATGAATATACCTGAACTCTTACCAGATGAACCGATACTGAAGCGTGAGCTTGTGAATCTGAATCACTCCCACCACTAGTGTGTGTGTGTGTGTGTGTGTGTGTGTGAGGGGTTAACACTAATGTGTGTGTTCTCCTGCATGTTTACAGCACATCTTCCTCAAAGAAGTGTTCGAGCTGTCCAACTACATCGACAGAAGCCAGTTACCGTCCAGTCTGGGTGGATACCTCATATACTGCCATCAGAGCTGGGCCGCCTTCGTCAAGGTACACGAGTGTGTGTGTGTGTGTGTGGTGTGTGTGCAGAAAGATTTGTGTGGTGTTTTCATGATTAGAATCAGATCAGAATCAGCAAGTCTAATGAAAGACCCCGCCATCATCATAAGTGTGTGTGTGTGTGTGGGACGATAAGGCCTGATATCTGAGTTCATGTGATGGCCTGTGTTTGTCCCTCCAGCCTTTTCAGATCCGAAACACCCAGGCGCTGCAGAACTGTGTGTGTTGGTCATGTCTGATTCTCTGGCTCAGGATAGATCAGTCACGCCACTGCAGGTCTCATGATCGGCTCGATGGCCTTAGATAACAGCGCTGACGCACGCTTCACTCCCCAGACCCGCCACTGTTCACTATGTGCATGTTTAGTGTGTGTGTGTGACTCAGTGTATTCATCATGATCGGCTCTATTGTGTGTATTGTCTGGAGAAGCTTCAGAGGACCATCATCTGTAGTCATTAGCAAGTGAAAGAGCCACACACACACACACACACCCGTGCTTGTCCTCGCCGCGGCCTCTCTTCAGGGGTTGATCACGCCTTATAGATCTGATGGGTCTGACTGGGGGACACTGTTCTGGGTAATTTCAGTGGAAATGTGGATCTAGACTCCATTATAGAGAGCCTAAGTCCCGCCCCTCCGCTTCCGGCTCATGGGACCTTATTTCGGAAGAAATATGAATGGTAGTCAATGGCGAGAGACAACTTATCTCTTTATTCCGTCTGAACTGTGTCCTCAATTACACATATGATGTTTGTCAATTTAAAAGATAATTCTGAAAGTCAAAAACGTCGCAGTTTGTCATAAAACAGAAGAGTAACATTTAGTTTTATGTGAAAATCGCTCTGTGAACTACATCTCCCAGGAAGCGAAACAACGAGCGAGATCCGCTGCTCGTGTGTGTGCAGTCTGGTACAAAACACTCGTAACGTTACGATTATAACGTAAGACTGTAGAAACAATGACAGACATTAGCCTCAGTAAAGTTAGCTTCATTCATTGAGAGAAAATGTGCGCCTTTGGGGTTTGTAGTCTTTTGTAATTACGTATTTTCACAGTCTTATACCTCAATGGTTTCACATCAAACTGCGACTTTCTTTACTTTAAAATGTCTCTTTTAAATTGACAAACATCATATGTTTAATTTAGGGCACAATTCAAACCAGATCAAAATATTCGTTGTTTCTCGCCATTGACTACCATTCAATATTTTTCCGAAATAATGTCCCATGGTGGGACTTAGGCTCTCTATATGGGAGCTGAGCTGGACGATGACATCACAGGCTTCTCCAGAGCGGCTATATCAACTAAATAACTTTTATTGTACAGGATTTTTACATCCCTGAACTTAAGCTGGACTAACACTATTGTTCTGGAAGCAACTGTAGCATGATGTCCTGTTCTCTGTATCGCTGCTTTGACACTGTAGTGATGCGCTACAGGAGTGACTCTGATTGGACTAGAGCTATAAGGCCATCTAGTGCCCACAGTCAGGAGTTATCATGGTATAGATATTTTTCCCCTACAAGAGGTCGGCAGAGACACCCAATGTAATATTTTGAGCTGAATTAAAAGGGTTCTGCATGAAATTGAGTTAAAGTTGAAAGTATGTGAGGAATGTGCTAAAATTAATATTTATCAAATCTAAGAATTTAAAGGTGAATAAAATAAAAAAATTGCATTAAAAGATGGAGAATTTTAGGGCTACAGGGTTTTTTTTTCGTTCCGTGAGGGAAAGATGTGTTAAAGGGATACTTCACTTTTTTTTGGAAATAGGCTCATTTTACAACTCCCTCAGAGTTAAAAAGTTGAGTTTGACCATTTTCGAATGTAATCTGCTGATTTTTTTTTTTTTTTGATATTTAAAAGAATATCAGTGTCCAGACAGTTTCTGGTCTCATTGACTTCCATAGTATATTTTTTTCCTACTATGGAAGTCAATGAGAGCAGAAACTGTCTGGATACTAATATTCTTCTAAATATCCGAAAATCGTCTGAATACATCCGAAAATGGTAAAACTCAACTGTTTAACTCTGAGGGAGATTTAAAATGAGCCTATTTCCAAAAAAAGTGGAGTATCCCTTTAAGAACGAGGGAAGGATGAGGGTTAATGTGTGTGTGTGTGTGTGTGCAGGTGATGGATGCGTTTGTGCAGGAGTTCCTGCTGGTGGTGAACAGACTGCCCTCCTGCATCTCCACTCTTCAGTCGCTCTCTCAGCTCCCCGTTCCTGATGACCTCCAGCGGCTGCGGGACTTCTGCTCGCTCAACCAGGCCCGTTTCCAGCAGCTGAGGAGGTGTGTGTGTGTGTGTCACTAAACCCAGTAGTGCTCACGAATCCCACTAGATAGTCTCAGATCCGATCTTTATCCCTCAGTCATTGAGTCTCGTGTAGAGCGCTATGATGAAACACACAATCATGCAGTTTACTGTATAACACAGTGTCAGAGTTTAACTCGAGAGGAGGACCGTACACTGAAGAGGCACATTTATTCATTACTTCTATCAAATCCAAAACTTGTGTTTTGTCAACATTGTTCTTGATACACAGGAGTTATACAATCTGTGTTGGATGTATTCACGTTTACAGGCACTAAATATAAACCATGCGTTCAGTACTTCTGTGTATAGTGTTGATCAAGCAAGCAGCAAAACATTAACCCTTGTGCATCAATTAAAAAAAGTTACACATGGGTAAAAAGAGGACAATGTCCATGTCAAAAAAACTGTCCTAAAATGTGATGCTTGGGAGCACAGACTTAAGTTTGGTATCATTTTAAAGAAGACCCTTTGCAGATTATTGCTGAAGTAAAAAAAAAAAAAAAAGTAAATCCAAGAAAAAGTTATAGGTATAAGTTTATGAAAATTATTTTATATAATATATATATTTTATAAATCAGGTTGAACTCAAAACTGCCATAAATCTAAATAGGTTGTGTTTCAAATTTGAGGATGATCTCAAAAAATGAGCTTTGGGTAACAGTTTGTTTGGGTGTAGTAACATATTTTCCCCATTGGGTGGCAGCAAAACCCCACTGGAGCTCACAGGGATTGGATCTGAATTTGCAGTTTTTCTCTCTCAGTGTTACAAACACACACATGCGCACACACACACATATTTTTTTATAACACACATACTAACCACACTCTGACATCCATACCAACACACCGACACAAATATCGTTGCATAATTTACCCAGTTGGCTCTATAGTATGGCAAAGCAGAAAACAGGAATAAAGCGATATTTGTTTTATAGGCCAAACTTAAAAAAAATGACACCATCTGATAAAAAATAGTAAAAAATAAAATTTTGAAGCCTTGCCATCAGAATGAAAGCCTCTTAACAAAGATTGCATAATTTTATAGTTAACTGAACCGGGGATTAAAAATGGCAGTTTTAATGGGTTTCAATGGGGACAGTTTTGTCCAAAAGGCGCTGAGAGGGAGTATTACTGTACCTAATGCAAAAAATATTTTAAGAAAATGACCAATAAAAACACACCTGTGCCAAGTTTTTTGCAGTTAGCTTTAACACAGACAAAGTGGTCAAAAAAACAAAACTGAAAGACAATGTCCATAAGGATGCACAAGGGTTAAATCATGTTCTTAATGATCTATGAAAACTGCCTTTTCTTTTGCGTTGAAATCTTTATGCAAAGACCTGCGGGTCACAGACCCCACTGTAATCTGTCTGCTGGAGATCTGAGAGCAGGTGTGTGTGTGTGTGTGTAGGGATCTCGGTTTGGATGACCTGTTGAAGCACTGTGAGTGTTTGCTGGAGAAGCTGCGTTTCCCGGAGAGCGACCCCTGCTTTCAGGCCATGGCTGGAACAGTCCTCTACACACACACCGCTCTGGAGATGCTGCGCAACTATAACCGGTACGTGTGTGTGTGTGTGTGCAGCTGAGAGTCCAGAAGCGCATGTACAGATGTGTGTGTGTGTGTGTGTGTCAGGATCAGGTCAGCGGTGCAGAAGGTGGAGCTGCTGTGGACTCGGGTGTTCTCCAGAGCTCAGGTCCAGCTACAGATGCTGCGTCTGCAGAGAGAGGCTCGACAGGTCAGGAACACACACACACACCCCACAGTGTTAATCTGAGGACGGGTGTGTGTAACAGCTGTGTGTGTGTGTCAGATCCAGGAGCAGATGGTGGCGCTGCACCGGCAGAAGCTGCAGGCGTACAGGACTGAAGTGGCTGAAGACACACACGGGGCCGAGGAGCAACTGCTGACCTTTGAGGCGTCCGTCTACACTCACGCCATGGTACAGACCCTCCACACACACACACACACACATCACCCTCCTCGGGCACACGCTCGCATGTCGTCTGCATTTATATAGCGCTTTTAACAATGTGCATTGACTCAAATAATACATTTTTTTTTATTATTAAACATCAAAAATAATGTATAATAATTCAAATCATGTATTAATTTTTTTAAACGTATAGATGTATGAAAAAAATTCACACTAATTCTGTTTTTGCTGGTAATAAAATTAAGCCATAAAACACTAATTTTATCATAAACTTTGTCAAATAATGTGCTGCACAATGAGCTTTACTGTTAAAATTAAAACCTGGATTATTCAGGTTTGTTTAAAAAATTCATAATTTATTCGTATTAGTGTTAATGTATTATTACATCTGGACATTTCCTATTTCTACTGTACAACAGTAATATATTTCTGTCAAGTTAACCGAACTTTTATTTTGACGGCTTGCCGTGAAGCCCTTTGGAGTTTCTGTGTGTTTGTCATGATGATAGTTTCACAAATGAAGCGGTTAAATGATCACGAAGTGACTTTCAGAGTGGATCTAGAGCCTGGAGAGGAAGTTCAATCATTTCTGTCTTCATATAGGCAAAAAAAACAGCGCAAGCGTCACACGTGTGTCTTCAGTGTGTGTGTGTGTGTGTGTGTGTGTGTGTGTGTGTGTGTGGTAAATAAAACTGCGCGTCGGCTGCACCAGAACCGTTGAAAAACATATTCATATTTAACAGCTCTGGGCTGCACTATTCATTCACACGGAACATACGACTCATACGAACAGGATTCGTATTTAAATAGTGTTTGTGGTTTAATATTCACACACACGAGTCTATATCGTGATTTTTATTTCAAGTGTACTGAACCGCTTTCTATTTATTCCTCAAATATACAGTAAAATCCTTTTTTATGACTGGATTTCGTCAGCATTTTAGGGGTGGGCGGGCCGTCCCCCTAAAACAATGGTAGGGGAAACACTGACTTGGTTGCAGAGGGCCCCATGATGAAGCTCCGAAAACTAACTTTTTGCACAAAAAAAGTTAAATATTTGTAAGAAACACTTGAGCTAATCTCCAGAAACGCATGAGTATCTGATGTATTGAATTAAATGGCGTGTCCTAATCGGGCAGATGCAGGAGTTTCCAGAGATCTGCTGTTTAATGGTGGTTGTGTGCTTCTCTGTGGATGTGCTTCCCAACACCTGATCGGCCCTTTGCTGAGGCGTCCGCTGACCTCACGTCTGTCTCCTCTGCCCAGGCGCTGGTCCGGCGCGCGGATGACGTCATGCACACGCTGGCGGAGACGGTCCCCGAGGCGGAGCGGACGCCTGCGCTGCCGTGGCTGCAGGACCTGGAGAAGCTGAAGCAGAACCTGTGCTCTGCGGCCCGGCGTCTGGACCTGACCCTGAGGAGCGCCGTGGACTTCCATCACGCCCGCGACCGAGTACGGCACCGCCGCCAGGCTCAGCGCTAGCATGTGCACATTCACACAGGGGTAGCCACTTATGAACGTGGAACGCTGCTGTTAAAGGAGTAGTTCACTTTAAAAAAAACTTTAGCTGATATTTTACTCCCCCCCCCCCGTGTCATCCAAGATGTCCATGTCTTTCTTTCTTCAGTCGAAAAGAAATGAAGGTTTTTGATGAAAACATTCCAGGATTTTCTCCATATAATGGACTTCAATGGGAACCAAACGGTTCAAGGTCCAAAAGACAGTTTCAGTGCAAACTGTTCAAAGGGCTTTATACGACACCAGACGATGAATAAGGGTCTTATCAAGCGAAACGATCACTCATTTAATAAATAAATAACAACGTTTAAGTTTTATAAGCTCAAATGCTCGCCTTGCTCTGTTCAGTGATGAGCGTTCGTGACTCTCCTGTTCGAACTCGTTCATCAAAATGAACTAATCTTTTTCCGAGTCATTTGGTTCATTCCGTGAACGAATTGACTCGGAAAATGATTTGTTCATTTTGATGATAACGAGTTCGAACAGGAGAGTCACACAGTACAGAGCAAGGCGAGCATTTGAGCTTATAAAACTTAAACTTTGTTATTTATTTATTAAATGAGCGATCGTTTCGCTTGATAAGACCCTTATTCATCGTCTGGTGTCGTTTAAAGCCCTTTGAACAGTTTGCACTGAAACTGTCATTTGGACCTTGAACCGTTTGGACCCCATTGAAGTCCATTATATGGAGAAAATCCTGGAATGTTTTCATCAAAAACCTTAATTTCTTTTCAACTGAAGAAACAAAGACATGGACATCTTGGATGACACGGGGGTGAGGAAATTATCAGCAAAAGTTTTATAAAAGTGAACTACTCCTTTAATGGGTGTGGGACAATTTGTATAATTCGGTACGAATCCATCTGGTAGAAACTCGAAAAATTAGACGGATGAACACGGTCAAGTAAAATGTGACCCAGACTGGCTGCAAAGGCCCTGATTTAAGTTCAAAAATACTAATAAATATAAAACATTATCAGGGGTTTATATCTACACAATATTTATTATCCATTTATTCATCGTCATCCCTTTATTCAGTTTGCTCTCTTTTCAAAGACGACACTTGGCAGATTATTGCTGTGGTGGAAAAAGTGAATTGAAAAGTTACAGAATTAAGTTTATGATAAAAAATGCACAAATACTATTTAAAATTTTTGCATGAAACCTATATTTTCCAAACACACACATACTTTTTTCCCCCCGTTAAATTAGACCATTTCATTTTCAGAATGATTATTGTAAACTGTGCATCCCTTCAAACATGAATAGCAAACCAGATTTTTAATCCAAAAATGAAATAATTGGGTTTTATTTGTATTTTTCACCAAGTACTGCAGCCGTAACCTAAACCAAGTTAAACGCATTACTCTTAGTGGTTTCAGCAGTTTGTTTTCTTAAGGATGATGGTTTATATTGTGTGTATATCTAAATGAGTGTGTGTTTCTCAGTGCAAGAGCTGGTGCGAGCGAGTGCTGTGCGCGGGCCTCCTGCAGGAGCTGCTGTGGAGTGAGCACTGCGGGGGTCCGGCCGAGGGCGGCTCGAGGAGACCGGGAGTCCAGGCCTTCCTCAGGAGAGACCCCGGCCCAGAGGAGCAGGAGCTGCTGACGCTGACACGCCTCGCACACAACATGAGCCAACCCAGCCTTCAGCAGGACGGCACGCAGCTCTCACACAGGTGCGCTGCACACTCACACAGGCCTGGGGTGTCTCTCAGCACACCTCCGGATATCTGTCCGGTCATCTTACTGTGGTCACATTTATGACCTGAGAGAACAGGCCACAGATCGAACACAGCAGCTGAAGGAGCGTTGTGTCCTCTAACCTATGAGTCAATCTCTCCATTCCTTCCTATTTTGGAAAGTCATAGAAATGCTATTGTGAATTAAGATTTTTGCATTACCCAACTATGATGACTTCTGCTTCTGAGAACCCCTGTAAATGTGAAAAGGGTTTATAGAAATTAGAGCCAGACCGATATATCGGCCGATATTAGGCATTTTCCATAATATCGGTATCGGCAGTTATAATGGCCGATAAATGAATATTTAAAAAATAAAATAAAAATGGACGAAACGCGCTTCAATCATCTCTCCTTGGCCTGTTATATTGAAAATGTATGTTTTACAATTTGCAGTATGATGTTATCTATTGCTAAATTATGGCTCATCATAGACTAGCTAACCACAAAGCTAGCTATTGCCACTATCATCCGTGGAAGACCGCTAATGAGCTTGGAAACCACAATAAACTTTTCTGCCTAAATAAAGTAATGATTACTGTATTTATAACCTGCATATCTCTAGTTACAGTCCCTCCATTGTAAAATGTAAGTTATACTTGTGAGGAGTGAACATTTAGACATAGAGAAAAAGTACCAAACGTATCTTGTGCAGAAAAGTTAGCTTTTCTTTTACACGTGTGTGAAATCCAACAATATTTAATAAAAAAAAAAAATATCGGCCGATATATCAAAAATATATGTATTGGTATCGGCCTTCAGAATCCTTTATCGGTCGGGCACTACTAGAAATCCTGTAGGGCGTTATCCAGAAACTCCTTGGTGAATGGCGGACACAAGCTTGTATGTTGATGTCGGTCCACAGATGCATGACCCTGAGGAGACTCCTGACCTCCACGGGTGCGGTTCCCCTTCATGACCTTCACCTCGCCCTCCAGTGGCAGTACGAGTACCTGAAGGGTCACCACAGGAGCTCTGACATCACTTCCCCCGAGGACCAGCAGCACACCTGCAGTCCGGCTGCAGACTCGGGCCTCGTGCGGCCGGCGCTCGTGGTGTCCCGCTGGCCCTCGGTGGAGGCCTCGCCAGCCGCAGCCAAACCGCCCTCGCTCAGCTCCTTCGACTCCGGCTTCGACGGGGCAGGAAACGCTCACCTGCATCACCCGAGCAGGAGGGAGAATCTCCCAAGGTTTCTGGGAAACGGAGACTCTGCGTTCACGTCGAAGCAGGTTCACGAGGACATTGTGAGCGTGTCCGACTCCGAGGAGCAAGAAGAACGAGGGTTCGGGTTACAGCGGGCCAGCATTCAGATCGTCCCCAAAATAACCTCCGACTCCGTGAACCTGGAGATCAAAGTGAAGCGCTCGTCCACGCTACCCAGAAACCCCTGGCTGAGCCTCCCGATAGATGACCTGGAGAGCTCCTACACGGTGACCATTACGCCCGGCTCCTCTCTCCCGCGGAGTCCGACGCAGACGCAGCCGAGCTTCGAGGAGTCAGAGCTGACCCCTGTGGGGAATGTCCTGTCCAGCACACTGACGGACAGTGAGGAGAAGCCCAGCTGCAGTGTGGACGGGGATCCTTCGCTCCAGTGGGACTCCTTCGACCTGCACAACCTCAGGCGGGACTCTCTTGAGCGGTAAGGCCGGCCATGGGGTTTAATTGTGGTGTGGCCTGTTTAACCCTCAGGTGCTCTTCGTTTCGGAGTCACACTTGTTATCTTCCCGGTCAAAAGTGACCGGACACCTTAAAATGAAACTTTCTCCATCCCAGTAAAACCAATGCAATTTATTTTTATTTTATAATATTTCTTCTTTTTAATTTAGTATTTTGAGACGATTTAAGTGAATTTATTAATATTTATGCAATATTTATGGTTTATTTTTGCCATGGAAAAATATATAGATTTTTCTATATATAAATATTTTTTTTCAAAAAAATATTAACGCAGTATTTTAGTTTAATATAGAGTCTAGGCCTTCAGAAAAAAAATATTTTTTGAAGAAAATTAGCCCCATCTGGATCCAGTATAGAGAAAAAGCGTAGAATCATGGTGTAACCACTAGATGGCATGTACAGCTCTCTATGGAGAGGCATGTGAATTCTCCAGCTGTTTATGAACACATTTTTTTTGTTGTTGGTGGATTTGTATATATAGTTGAAACAATCTCAAAAACTATTTCTTATAAAAAAAATTGACAAACAAAAATTCACAAATTTTTAATTTTTTACAATTTCCCATTCATTTCCTATGGGGGTCATTTTTGACCAAAGACCTCAAGTGTGACAGTTTTTTTTTAAGACCACTTAGCATGCTCAGATCATCACCTCAATTTTGTTGTGTGTTCACATACATAATGCCATAAAAGTCACCAAATTTCATAACTTTGCGATGAAGCTGTGATTTTTAAAAATTCAAAACTTCAATACTTTTTGTAAACAATTTATTGGTGTATGTGTATAAAAGTGTGTGTGTGTTGGTGGGTGAGTCTGTTTTGCACTCTAGATTTAAACTGTCACCCCTTTCCTGCGGTGTACTTTTTTTTTTTTTTTAGAATTGTGGCCGATTTGTCGATTGTACATAAATTCAGAGAATTATTATTTTTTTTGGTCAATTTCCCATTCATTTCCTATGGGTCGTCATTTTTGACAGAAGAGCAAAAGTGTGACTCATTTTTTTACGACCACTTAAATTGCTCGAATCATGACCTCAATTTTTTTGTGTGTTCACATACCCAATGCCATAAAAGTCACCAAGTTTTGTAATTTTCTGAAGAAGCTGTGATTTTTAAATATTCAAAACAGATTTCTTTAATCACAATTTATTGGTGTTTTTGTGTATAAAAGTGTGTATGCGTGTGTGTAGGGGTGGGTGTGTACTGCACTCTTGATATTTTAGAGTGTCACCCCTTCAATGCTGAGCACTTTTTTTCTGCATTGTGGCCGATTTGTAGATTGCACACACAAAAATTCTCAAAGTTTTTGTGTTTTTGTCAATTTCCCATTCATTTCCTATGGGTCGGTCATTTTTGACTGAAGACCACAAGTGTGACTATTTTTACGACCACTAAAATTGCTCGAATCATGACCTCAATTTTTTTGTGTTCACATACCCAAGGCCATAAAAGTCACCAAGTTTTGTAACGAAGCTGTGATTTTTAAAATTTCAAAACAGAAAATTTTCCGGTCAGAAATAACCGCAGAGCACCTGAGGGTTAAGGACTTGTGTCCTCCTGTATTGGGTAGGGTGGACGTGTCTCTGGGCGACTGGGCTGAGCGAGAGCAGCAAGAGCTGAAGGAGGTGGAGACGACGTTAGAGCGAACCGCTGAGATCTTACAGGTGAGTGTCCGTTCTGTGGAGTCTGGGTTACGCTTCGACAGGTTTATGAAGCGCGTGATGTAGCCTCTCTCCTAGCGGTGCACATGAATCTAGAATCATCAATGACATGTACACTATGATATGGATTTCATAACTGAACAGAGTAGAATCTCTTATTTTTTATTAATATTGTTTTAGTTTTTGTTAATTTAGCATTTTTTCTACCTTTTTTGCATCTCTATAGGTTGTCCCTTTCATTGCGCAGGGCGTTCACCGAGCCAAACGTGCTCTTGCTCGACAGTGCAAGAGCACCTGCCATGATTTAAACAAATCGCTTTTGAAATGCTTTAAGTTTATTTGAAGTTTTATGCTCTTATTTTTTTTTTTTTTTTTTGAGTCAAAGTGGTAGTTGTGATGTCAATGGAGGGACAAATCTCTAATTTCATCCAAAAGATAATTTGTGACTTCAGCTGAAGTTTTCTCCTTGGCTTGCAGTTAAAGGATTAGTTCACTTTTGAAATTAAGGTTTTTGATGAAAACATTCCAGGATTTTCTCCATATAATGGACTTACATGGGAACCAGACGGTTCAAGGTCGAAAAGACAGTTAATAACAGTTTCAGATGCAGCTTCAAATGTCTTTAAACGACTCCAGACGATGAATAAGGGTCTTATCATGCGAAACGATCAGTTATTTCAAAACTTATTCCAAAAATGTAACTTTTCTAAGGACAAATGCTAGCCTTGCTCTATTCTGTGAGGCGCGTTTGCAACGTCACGTAATACGTAATTACGTTCAAAAGGTCTCGGGCGACGTAGCCGGAAGTACAGAGTCAGTGTTTACAAGTTGAACGCATAGGTTGACCGTGCAGACCTTTTGAACGTAATTACGTATTACGTGACGTTACAAACGCGCCTCACAGAATAGAGCAAGGCTAGCATTTGTCCTTAGAAAAGTTACATTTTTGGAATAAGTTTTGAAATCAGAGATCGTTTCGCATGATAAGACCCTTATTCATCGTCTGGTGTCGTTTAAAGACATTTGAAGCTGCATCTGAAACTGTTATTAACTGTCTTTTGGACCTTGAACCGTTTGGTCCCCATTGAAGTCCATTATATGGAGAAAATCCTGGAATGTTTTCATCAAAAACCTTAATTTCTTTTCGACTGAGGAAAGAAAGACATGGACATCTTGGATGACACGGGGGTGAGTAAATTATCAGCAAAAGTTTTTTCAAAAGTGAACTACTCCTTTAACAGCCAAAAGTTGTGCTTTTCTCCTTGCCCTGCTCGGTGACCCTGCAGCTGAAGCGATTGGCCTGATTATGATGTGGTGTTTTCAGGAGGAAGAGGATGTGCTTGCACAGGAGGTGGTCCTGGATGAGCTGTTGCGGTCCGAGGATCTGCACAAACACTGGCCCGAGTGGACCGAAGCACGCCAGCACAGTGCGGTGAGTCTCTCGGGGAGGTCGGGTTAATGAAACAGTTGGTGTGTGTGCTCTTTGGGTTGTGTTAGAAACTAGTAATAATAATAATAATAATAATAATACATTTAATTTTTAGAGCGCTTTTCTAGACGCTTGTCAAAGACGCTTTACAGGCAATTCAAAATTGTGAATTGACTGGCGGTAGATAGTTGCAATCACCAGGGGTTTAGTGCCAAACAGTTTGAATGATAAAGTGTGAATAGTTGAACATGCATTTTTTTGTTCCAGATGTCCCCACAAGATCTGGTGGAGTCTGGCGTGATTGGATTGGATGATGTCCTTCAGAGTGAACCCTCTTCTACAGGCTCCGAGACTCTGAGAACTAGTGAAAGCGACTCCGACGCCCCTGGATTGGGCGATGAAAGGCCTGTGCAGCTGGACACCAGATCTCCTGAGGTGGACCGACGTGGGATCCTTCGAGATCTTCAAGTTCTTGATGAGCAAATAATGGAGGAGCAGTTGAAACTGGAAGCGCTGCACTGCACTGAGACTGAGCCGCCGGGTCATGTGACCACCCGCAGCTCCGATAGGGAGAGGAGGATGTTCCTGGCTCAGCTGGAGGATGAGAGACGGGAGGTGGAGAAGATGGAGAGAAGCCTGAGCAGAGAGATGAAGGCGAGGATGAGCTCAAGCAAAGGCCGCAGAGTGGTCAAGTGTTCGGTCATGGAGAGGAACTCGAAGCTGAAAGATCTGGACGGTGAGCTGCTGAGGAACTGCAGGCCCGAATCAACCCGTCAAACACAGTGTGCCAGTCCATCGCCTCCAGATCGAGCTGAAGATGCCAGTCTCTCAGACGCGAGTGTGACTCCAGATCGAGCTGAAGATGCCAGTCTCTCAGACGCGAGTGTGACTCCAGATCGAGCTGAAGACGCGAGTTTGACTCCAGATCGAGCTGAAGATGCCAGTCTCTCAGACGTGAGCGTGACTCCAGAGCCTTTGAGTTCAACAAGCGGGTCTATTCCCAACACGAGCTTGAGTGAGATTGGGATCGGAGGTCCTGCAGCTTCCGACTCAGAATCCCTTCAGGAAGCCTCGTCTGGCCAAGGAGAGCCTTTTGTATTAAGCGTTATTTCTTCTCCTGATCAGAAACTGGAAGATATGGACACCAGTGAAGGCTCAAGCGGCCATTCTGAGCGTCCCGAGAGTGAGACGTCTTTCTGTGTCTGTACAGACGGTGGTGATTCTGGTCAAGCTGAGCTAGAGGAGCTCGAGGCTAGTGAAGCGCAGCTGGAGGCTAGTGCTAATGAAGATGAGCTGGAGGCTAGTGCTAATGAAGATGAGCTGGAGGTTAGTGCTAGTGAAGATGAGCTGGACGCTTGTGCTAGTGAAGGTCAGCTAGAGGCTACTGCTAGTGGAGCGACGCTGGAGGCTAGTGGAGCGCCCTTGACCCAGAACAGCGGTGCGGTGCGAGATGCGTTTGATCCCGGCGGTGTCCTGGTCGCTCCAGTGGCTGGACCGCGGAGGCCCGTTCCTCTCGACGGCCGCTCCGAGACACCGCCGCCAGCCTCTGAACACACACGAGCACCGGTGGAGTCGGCCACGCCCGCCGCCTGCGCACAGAGCACATCTCAAAGCCTGTACATGCAGAACAACAACAACAACACCGCAGTGCTGCGCCGCGGAGAGACCTGCGGCGCGGAGATCCCAGAGATTCAGGAGGACGCCGCCGCGGCCGGGCCGTGTGTGGGCCGTGAGGGTGGAGGCTCCACGAGAGCGGCCTGCAGATCTGCACTCCAGCTGGACACACACAGACAGGTGCGCACCAGGGCCAGAGGGGAGCACTCGCGCTGGGCTATATCGTGATGTGACACAAATTACACAAATTATGCTATCACAGACACACTCACTTTGAAAACACTGCACACTTCGATGACGGTGCACTGCTTTTATTTTAAAGGGTTAGTTCACCCAAAAATGAAAATTAAGTCATTAATTACTCACCCCCATGCTGTACCAACCCCGTAAGACCTTCGTTCGTCTTCGGAACACAAATGAAGATGTTTTTGATTAAATTTGAGAGCTGTATAACTACCACATTGGCTCCTAAGGGACTGCCTCTTGACGGCCCAGAAAGTCAATGAAGAAAATGTTTAAATATCCCAAGTGACTACCGTGGCTCAACTATATGTTTATCAAGCGACGCGAATACTTTTTGTGCGAAAAAACAAACAAAAATAACGAGTTTATTCGACTATTTCTTTTCTTCCTTGTAGGCCAGAACGAGACTTCCTTAGATTTCCACGACGCATGCGCGAGAATTGCGATCTGAAGTGGTGTAAGCTGATGTGAGCAGATCGCAAATCTCGCGCATGCGTCGTGGAAATCTAAGGAAGTCTCGTTCTGGCCTACAAGGAAGAATAGAAATAGTCGAATAAACTCGTTATTTTTGTTTGTTTTTTCGCACAAAAAGTATTCGCGTCGCTTGATAAACATATAGTTGAGCCACGGTAGTCACTTGGGATATTTAAACATTTTCTTCATTGACTTTCTGGGCCGTCAAGAGGCAGTCCCTTAGGAGCCAATGTGGTAGTTATACAGCTCTCAAATTTAATCAAAAATATCTTCATTTGTGTTCCGAAGACGAACGAAGGTCTTACGGGGTTGGTACAGCATGGGGGTGAGTAATTAATGACTTAATTTTCATTTTTGGGTGAACTAACCCTTTAACTTAATTATGCTTTTGTTGTATTTTTCAACAACAATAGTTTCAAACAAAGCTGTACATCTCAGTGTTTCCTTACCAAATCAGTGTTTCTGAACGAGTCTGATTTAACCCTCAGGTGCTCTTCGTTTCGGAGTCACACTTGTTATCTTCCTAAAACACCTAAAAATGAAACTTTCTCCATCCCAGTAAAACCAATGCAATTTATTTTTGTTCTATAATATTTATTCTTTTTAGTTTAGCATTTTGAGAATTTAATTGAATTTATTAATATTTATGGTTTATTTTTGCCATGGGGGAAAAAAAAAACAAATATATATATATATATATATATATATATATATATATATATATATATATATATATATATTTATATTATTTTTTTTCAAAAAAATATTAATGCAGTATTTTAGTTTAATATAGAGTCTAAGCCTTTAGGAAAAATATTTTTTGAAGAAAATTAGCACCATCTAGTTACAGTATAGAGAAAAAGCGTAGAATCATGGTGTAACCACTAGATGGCGTGTACAGCTCTCTATGGAGAGGCATGTGAATTCCCCAGCTGTTTATGAACACATTTTTTGTTGTTGGTGGATTTGAATATATAGTTGAAGCTGTCAATTTTTTTATAAGAAATATTTTTTGAGAAACAAAAATTCTGACAAACAAAACACAATTTTTTTTTCATTTTTTTTTTTTTACAATTTCCCATTCATTTCCTATGGGGGTCATTTTTGTCCAAAGACCACAAGTGTGACTATTTTTTTTAAGACCACTTGGCATGCTCAGATCATGACCTCAATTTTTCTGTGTGTTCACATACCCAATGCCATAAAAGTCACCAAGTTTTGTAATTTTCTGAAGAAGCTGTGATTTTTAAATATTCAAAACAGATTTCTTTAATCACAATTTATTGGTGTTTTTGTTTATAAAAGTGTGTGTGTGTAGGGGTGGGTATGTCTGTTTTGCATTTTTGATGTTTTAGAGTGTCACCCCTTTAATGCTGAGCTTTTTTTCTGCATCGTGGCCCATTTGTAGATTGCACACACAAAAATTCAAGTTTTTGTGTTTTTGTCAATTTCCCATTCATTTCCTATGGGGGTCATTTTTGACCGAAGAGCACAAGTGACTTTTTTTTTTTTTTTTTTACGACCACTTAGCCTGCTCAGATCATGACCTCAATTTTTTTGGTGTTCACATACCCAATGCCATAAAAGTCACCCGTGTTTGATAGTTTAGTCGTAACTATTTGAGGCTCTGTCCCAGACTCGAGTGAGCTGCGAACTTGGTGCATTCTGGGCTTACAAGTTCACTAGGGTTTGGGTTTTCTCATCCGTGTGTGAGCCTGAGCTGCCGTGTCTGCTTTCTTCCCTGAGTTAGATGAGTGATTATCAGACGGCCATCGTGCTGGACAGCGGGTCGGGTCTGATAAAGGCAGGGTTTGCAGACCAGGACCTTCCAACCACAGTGTTCCCCACGGTCATCGGCCGGCCCAAATATGAGGTACTCGCTCTCTCACTCTGGTACATCGATGCCGTGACGGAAAAAAATGTTAGTCAGATAGGACTGGCTGGACTTTGAGCAGCTCAGCCGTGTGGTGTTGGTGTGGACTGATGGTGATGATGGTCTGGTTCTCCAGGAAGTGCTGAGCGGTAGCGTGGACCGGGCGGTCTACATCGGGCACGATGCGCAGCACATGAGAGGAGTGCTGGCGCTGAAGTATCCCATCAGGAACGGCATCGTGCGCAACTGGGATGAGATGGAGATGGTGAGTGCTCTTAAGAGGAACGGCTTTAATGTTCCCCTCACTGCGGTATGTTTAAATCCTGCTAATGACATGAACACAGGGATTTATACACCACTACACTACAGTATTAAGAATGTCCACATTTTCACTGGTGTGTCCAAACATTCACGGATTCCCATTGAAACGCTTCACTGCTGTGGTTCACATGCACTCCGTAACCTACGATAATCAGATTGATGGATCAGCTGCACTGAAAGCCTTTATGTGAACACCTGAACAATCCAGTTATTTCTGATCCTAGATGTAGACCTGACATAATCTGATCAACGGGGGAAAGTATGTAAATGCTTGGATCAGACTCTTCTCAGTCAGGGTCACTAATACCGTGAGCACATGTTTAGTGCTGTTACATGTGTGTGTGTGTGTGTGAAGCAGGGCTGGGCCGTGTGGCAAACACGTCTTCTGTTCACGGTTCTGTTTCAAGTTTACTCTTTTGCATTACAGCCAAACTAATGTCCCTATTTTAAAAACAAAGCCTTGGGTAACACAATCTAATATAAAAAAGGGCTGACATTTAGGCCAAAGTGGCGAAGATAACTTAATGTACTAATGAAATAAACAGTGCTTTATTTTTTCACATACAGGAGGTGTTTAGCAGTAGCATTGAAGTAATTAAATGATCAAATATGAAATTAAAACACTACATAGTAACTTCAATAGACTTCACTGTATGTATTATACATTCATTCTTAACGTTCTCAGTCAGTGAGTTATTCTCTTTTTTTATGTTTTATTAACATTAAGGGATAGTTCCTCAAACATGAAAATTGTCATTTACTACAAGTTTGTTTCTTGTGTTGAAAATAATTTATTTTGAAGAATGTGGGTGACCCAACAGCTCTGGTCCCCAGTGTATAGGTCTCTCTCTCCTGTGGAAGCAGCTATAGAGAGCCTAAGTCCCGCCCCTCCGCTTCCGGCTCATGGGACCTTATTTCGGAAAAAATATGAATGGTAGACAATGGCGAGAGACGACTTATCTTATTATTCCGTCTGAACTGTGCCCTCAATTACACATATGATGTTTGTCAATTTAAAAGATAATTCTGAAAGTCAAAAACGTCGCAGTTTGTCATAAAACAGAAGAGTAACATTTAGTTTTATGTGAAAATCGCTCTGTGAACTACATCTCCCAGGAAGTGAAACAACGAGTGAGATCCGCTGCTCGTGTGTGTGCAGTCTGGTACAAAACACTCAGGTATGACGGCGTAACGTTACGATTATAACGTAAGACTGTAGAAACAATGACGGACATTAGCCTCAGTAAAGTTAGCTTCATTCATTGAGAGAAAATGTGCACCTTTGGGGTTTGTAGTCTTTTGTAATTGCGTAATTTCACAGTCTTATACCTCAACGGTTTTACATCAAACTGTGACTTTCTTTACTTTAAAATGTATCTTTTAAATGGACAAACATCATATGTGTAATTCAGGGCACAATTCAAACCAGATCAAAATATTTGTTGTCTCTCGCCATTGACTACCATTCAATATTTTTCCGAAATAAGGTCCTGTGGTGGTCGACCGGAAGGGGAGGGACTTAGGCTCTCTATTGGGTTACATTCTTCAAAATATCATCTTTTGTGTTCAGCTAAAGAAAGAAATACAGGTTTGCAACATTAGAGAGTGACATAATTTGCATTCATTTGGTGAACTATCTAAGGACAAGCGGTGGCACGTTTACTATTCAGCTACTGTCACTGTAGCCCTCAAACCGTATTCACTTTATAGCCCTTCATCCTGTAATTGTGGACAAATGTGGGCACAGAGGACTCAGGTGTGATCCTAATTTTTATTTATTATAAATGTTATCACATTCTTTAAAGTTTTGTGTATCCATTTTTGTTTTTTTTGTATTTTGGGGTATTTTTGAATTTATTTACTTCAAAAAAGTACCATATTTTCTATGTAAATTATCCTTAGTTTTTTTTTTTTTTTTTTTTTTTTAACTACATTAAAATATCATTCCAATAAGTTCTTAGAGCTAAAACCTAAAGATAAAGTGACTCATTTTCACTTATTTTGATTACAGTTTTTCCCATTCATTTCTATGGGTGCCCATGTTTGACCCAAACACAAGATTAAGGAGTTTTTTTCACCCACTAAACATTGTAGAATTGAGTCAAAAAAATTGTGTGTTCAGGAGGCAAACTTAGGAAAAGTAGCCAAGTCTTGTACCGTTCAGATCAAGGGAAGTATTTTTAAAAAAATAAATCGACTATTTTGCCCACATTTGTCCAGAATATCGTTTTAGGGTTAAGACCGGCTCACATCAAATATACCCGCATGACACACCTAAACTCCTCTCAAATGTATGTTTGCTTTCACTTCAGATATAACCAACTAAAATTAGACAATGCAACGCCTCTTGTCTCAACATGGGGAGAGGAGAGCTGTCGAGTAACTTGCATTACTTTTTTGATAAAGTTTGGATGGTGTGTTAATCTGATTCCTTGACCCGGTCAGTAGCAGTTCCCTGGACCCGATTGGTTGGGGATGTTCCTCTCCTGATGACCGTGCTCTGCTCTCGTCTGCAGATCTGGGATCATGCGTTCCAGCGTCTGGCGGTGCGTCCCGAGGATCACCCGGTGCTGCTGACCGAAGCCGCCATGAACCCGCGGCAGAACCGGCAGCGCATGGTGGAGCTGATGTTCGAGGCCTTCAGCGTCCCGCTGGCGTTCGTGGCCCTGCAGGCGGTGCTGGCGCTCTACGCCTCGGGCCGCACCACCGGTCAGTGTCTCACACACACATTTGAGCCTTTATTTGCAGGCTTTAGTCAAATATGAAACACTCAGTGACCAAAGTGTAGGTGTGTTTCTAACGAGTGCACGGGTTTAGCCGGGAGTACACACACGCCAAATCTGTTTGAATGCTCCTTTAAATAAATATGTTTCTTGAACCTTTTAAACAAAAATAAAGAGATTTTGAGCATCATGATTCATGATCTGATCGATCAGGCGTTGGTGGTGCAGTGAGAATATGGGGGAAACGGCTCTGTTTTCTTCCGACTCAAACTGAGCATGTGCTGCAGATGCTGATAATGGACCGAAAGATGAGATTCTGATGCTTGTGAAGTAAATCAATGCGGTCTTTATAACAGTATAGCGGATACTTGCATATAAATATCTTCTTATGAAGACATATTATGTATATGTTTTAAAACTAGAGCTTTGATCATAACCTAAGCAATCAAATGATTGAGAGATGAACAAACTTTCCTCATACTTGAGACATGATTTATATAATAAATGATGTCTGGCTTCAGTCCAGTTGGAATATAACTAACAATATTAAAGTTATTGTTGTTTACTTTGATAAAATCAGGTCAGATTTGACAGCAGAAAGAGCTGGAGGACGTTTGTACAGTTATACTGAAAGACTTTAGTTGATGGTTCAGACTCTTATCAGAGATGGAGAGGTTTATCAGATCATCATCTGGAGGGTAAAGTCATCTGAAAGCTTTGAAGTGGAGTGTGTGTGTGTGTGTTCAGGTGTGGTGCTGGACTCTGGAGACGGTGTCAGTCACAGTGTTCCCGTGTTCGAGGGTTACTGTCTCCCTCATGCCGTGCAGCGCTTCAACCTCGCCGGAGCCGACGTCACCCTGCAGCTGCAGAAGGTCACACACACACACACACACACACACACTAACCAGACCCAAAAAAGTAAAGTACACAAAGACGAATAACTCAAACTATTGCAAGGAGAGTCGAAAGGTATCGTTTGATAAACACTTTGATGAAAACATAAACTACATTTGGACATTCTCCTGCTGAGAAACTGCTAATATGTCAAATCATAAAAGTGATGGATATTTTTATCTGTCTTCTTTTAATGTGCAATAACTTAAGCCCCGTTCACACTACAAGCGGCGCGTCTCTGGAGGGCGTTCCCACTGCTGGTTGCCAGACAACAAATACTATAAATACTATAAACTAAAATATTTTGGAAGGAAAAGTCTAAATATAAATGGAATCAGTACATAAAATGCATAATATGGTAACACTTTACAATATTAAACATTAGTTAACATGAACTAACCATGAGCAATACATTTGTTTTTGTTTTTGTTAATCTTTGTTAACGTTAGTTAATACTAGGGGTGTAATGGTACACAAATCACGGTTCGGTACGTACCTCGGTTTTAAAGTCACGGTTCGGTACGTTTTCGATACAGCAAAAAGAAAGAAATGCCAGAGAAATTTACTATTTGTTTAAAGAAAATATATATTTTTAAATAAGTGTGTTTTCAAGTGTGAGCAATCGTTCGGTTTGTATGTGTACCGAACCGGAAGCTTCGAACCGAAACGGTTCAATACGAATACATGAAGAGTTCAGATGCAAAAGCCTCTAAGTGCCATTTGAAATTTTCTTCTAGAATTATCATTTTTATCAAGCTTGTATATTTAAGTTCAGTAATTTCACTTAAATGGCAATGATAATTACCTATTAATTGTTAAGTGAAATTACTGAACTTAAATATACAAGTTTGATAAAAATCATCATTAAAGAAAAAAAAATTTCAAATGGCATTTAGAGGCTTTTGCATCTGAACTCTTCACATGTACCGTTACACCCCTAGTTAATACAAATCCAGCTGTTCATTGTTTGTTCATGTTCACAGTGCATTAACTAATGTTAACAAGATTTTAATAAAGTATTAGTAAATGTTGAAATTAACATTAACAAATGCTGAAGTAGTATTGTTCATTCTTAGTTAATGTTAACTAATGAACCTTATTGTAAAGTGTTACCCGTAATATTAAAGATGAACGAGAAACAGTGAGTGCTCTTTGCCATCGCGGCTGGACCACCGGTCGCAACAGTGGAGGATATGGGGGAAATAAAACATTCAAGCAGGAAAACCTGTTGTAGGAGAGCACAAAACCAACACCTGTGTGTGTGTGTGTGTGTGTGCAGCTGCTGCTGGAGCAGGGTGTGTGTATGCGCACGTCAGCGGAGCTGGAGATCGTGCGTGAGATGAAGGAGAGCAGCTGCTGTGTGGCTCTGGATTATGAAGCGGCGCTGGAGACTGCAGGATCGGCCTCCTCAGAGGTTCAGTACACACTCCCCGACGGACGGCTCGTCTCGCTGGGCTCTGAACGCTTCCGGTAACTGACCCGCTCGTGTGTGTGTGTGTGTGTGTGTGTGTGTGTCTGCCTCCTGGTATTAACATGCGATCTGTATCCAGATAAGTTATCTGGGTAATAAGTACCGATTTCATTCACACCTGGACACGTAAATGTGTTTTTGCAAAACAGATATAAATCCGACCTTCGTTATATGCAGATTTAATAGATTACATTTTTGTCCTTTTCAGTTTTGTTTTGTTCATCACTTTGCCTGTGTTAAAGCTAACTGCAAAAAAATTGGCACAGGTGTGTGTTTTTATTGGAATTTTACTATTTCACTGTCATTTTCTTGAAAAAATATTTTTTAAGATTCACCTTTTTGGACACATTTTTTAAGTCACTTTTTGGACAAAAATGTCCCCATTAAAACTGCATAATTTTATAGTTAACTGAACCGGGGGTTAAAAATGGCAAGGCTTTCATTCTGACGGCAAGGCTTCAAAATTTTATTTTTTACTATTTTTTTTTTATCAGATAGTGTCATTTTTTTTTTAAGTTTGGCCTATAAAACAAACATCGCTTTATTCCTGTGGGGTTTTGCTGGCGCCCGATGGGGAAAATATGTTACTACACCCAAACAAACTGTTACCCAAAGCTCATTTTTTGAGAAATCATCCTCAAATTTGGAACACAACCAATTTAGATTTATGGCAGTTTTGAGTTCAACCTGATTTATAAAATATATATTTTTTATAAATAATTTTCATAAACTTATACCTATATAACTTTTTTGGGGGTTTACTTATTATTTTTTTTACTTCAGCAATAATCTGCAAAGGGTCTTCTTTAAAATGATACCAAACTTAAGTCTGCTCCGAGTCACATTTTTAGGACCGTTTTTTGACATGGGCATTGTCCTTTTTTTACCTTTTTATTTTTTTTATTTCATTTAACCTTTATTTTACCAGGTAGGCCGATTGAGAACAAATTCTCATTTACAACGGCGACCTGGCCAAGATAAGGTGATAAAAGTGCAAGACAACAATAAGTTACACAATAAAAAAAGAAAGACAATACAAGGTCAAAAAAAGGAACATATAACTCTATTGGGTAACCAAAATTAAAACACTCAAATGTTTTTATGTTAAAAATGTATAAATAAATGAAAACTCTGACAATGCAGCTGTAAGAGGTCGGTTGTACCATGCAGACAAAAGAAGAAAAGGCTAAAAACAATTAACAGGTCCATATATCAGTCATGTGTTCTGAGAGAAGTTGTTTAAAGGCAACAGGTGATATACACTCACCGGCCACTTTATTAGGTACACCCGTCCAACTGCTCGTTAACACTTAATTTCTAAGCAGCCAATCACATGGCGGCAACTCAGTGCATTTAGGCATGTAGACATGGTCAAGACAATCTCCTGCAGTTCAAACCGAGCATCAGTATGGGGAAGAAAGGTGATTTGAGTGACTTTGAACGTGGCATGATTGTTGGTGCCAGAAGGGCTGGTCTGAGTATTTCAGAAACTGCTAATCTACTGGGATTTTCACACACAACCATCTCTAGGGTTTACAGAGAATGGTCCGAAAAAGAAAAAACATCCAGTGAGCGGCAGTTCTGTGGGCGGAAATGCCTTGTTGATGCCAGAGGTCAGAGGAGAATGGCCAGACAGGTTCGAGCTGATAGAAGGGCAACAGTGACTCAAATAACCACCCGTTACAACCAAGGTGGGCAGAAGAGCATCTCTGAACGCACAGTACGTCGAACTTTGAGGCAGATGGGCAACAGCAGCAGAAGACCACACCGGGTGCCACTCCTTTCAGCTAAGAACAGGAAACTGAGGCTACAATTTGCACAAGCTCATCGAAATTGGACAATAGAAGATTGGAAAAACGTTGCCTGGTCTGATGAGTCTCGATTTCTGCTGCGACATTCGGATGGTAGGGTCAGAATTTGGCGTCTACAACATGAAAGCATGGATCCATCCTGCCTTGTATCAACGGTTCAGGCTGGTGGTGGTGGTGTCATGGTGTGGGGAATATTTTCTTGGCACTCTTTGGGCCCCTTGGTACCAATTGAGCATCGTTGCAACGCCACAGCCTACCTGAGTATTGTTGCTGACCATGTCCATCCCTTTATGACCACAATGTACCCAACTTCTGATGGCTACTTTCAGCAGGATAATGCGCCATGTCATAAAGCTGGAATCATCTCAGACTGGTTTCTTGAACATGACAATGAGTTCGCTGTACTCAAATGGCCTCCACAGTCACCAGATCTCAATCCAATAGAGCATCTTTGGGATGTGGTGGAACGGGAGATTCGCATCATGGATGTGCAGCCGACAAATCTGCGGCAACTGTGTGATGCCATCGTGTCAATATGGACCAAACTCCCTGAGGAATGCTTCCAGCTCCTTGTTGAATCTATGCCACGAAGAATTGAGGCAGTTCTGAAGGCAAAAGGGGGTCCAACCCGTTACTAGCATGGGGTACCTAATAAAGTGGCCGGTGAGTGTAAGTGCTTCAAGTTTTAGGGTTTTTTTGTAATTAATTCCAGTCCTTAGCTGCTGCAAACTGGAAGGATTTTTGGCCAAATGCTGTGCGGACGTTCGGGATGACTAAGGCAATATACCTATTAGACCGAAGACTACGAGATGGTACCTACAAGTAACTTTTTTAATTGATGCACAAGGGTTGAATTATTATTGAGAACATGCACTTATGATGGACTCAATATGAAGATTTAACTCCAGCTCACCATCGGTGTCTCCAAAACACACACTCTTCTAAAAGAGTGCTTACGCACGGACAAGAGCATCCTTACGGTGCGCACTTATTTACGCCACGTTTATTTTTTATTATTCCCGATATGTGCGTGGAGAAATGCGTACGTCGTAGAAGTGGGATCTGCAACACTGCTGCAAATGAGTACATCAGGGGCTTCATCTCCAGATTCACCCTCTCACAGGCTCATGTGTTCACATTCACAGGGCTCCTGAAATCCTCTTCAGGCCGGAGCTGATTGGACGAGATCATTATGGGATGCAGGAGAGCGTGTTCAGGTCCATCATGCAGTCGGACATCGACCTCCGGCGCAGCTTCGTGGGAAACATCCTCCTGTCAGGTGTGTGTGCTGGCCAATCAGAGGCTAGAATCTAACACATGTGACTGGGTGTGTGTGTGCTCTGGCCAATCAGAGGGCAGGATCTCTAACACATGGCTGTGTGTGTGTGCAGGCGGGAACACGCTGCTGCCAGGCCTCCCGGAGCGGCTCCAGCAGGAGGTGTGTGGTGTGTGTGCGTCGGATCTGAGTGTGTGTGTGCGGGTCGTCAGTCCTCCGGAGCGGGACTCGTCGGTGTGGAGCGGTGGGGCGGCGCTGGCCAGCAGAGCCGAGCTGAGCGGGGCCTGGATCAGTGCGCAGGAGTACCAGGAGTTCGGCCCGCACATCGTCTTCAGGAAGTGCTTCTGACGCACGTTTGCAGGGTGTAGTGTCTGATCGTGCCAATCTTCAGGCTTTTAGCACTCGTACGAGACCGTGTTTTAATGCTTTTAAACTCTTCCCTTATACTGGTTGCATCAATCAGATCGTCCGTCTCTTTAACACATGAATTCTAATCTAATTATGTAAATTAATGTGTTTTATATATGTGTGTGTGTTTAACCTATCTATGAGATATGAATGTTCTGATGCTGTCCATGAGGCTGATGATGCAACGCTCACATGTGACCCGACGCGAGGAGCTTCGGTGTGTGTGTGACGCATTTCCTCCATATGCAGTTTCTCTTTTCACCATGTGTGTGTGTGTTGTGTGTTGTGTGTTTTGATTGGTTTTATCACTTCACGCATCTTCCCTCTTGTGTTTTCACGTGTGTGTGTGTCTCAGAGAGACTGTCATGGATGGATGTGGGTCTGAAGCGTCTCCCCTGATGAACTCTGAGGTTTGCTCTCGTTCACCCTAATGCGGTCATGTGATCAGCACTGTCATGGCTGAATGTTGCTCAATGTGTTTACCTCCAATCCCCGGCATCAGTGTCTGTTAACTGGGTTATGTCTGACCTTTTTACAATAAATATATCTTCTAAAGCAGCTGTGTGTGTGTGTGATCTGGTTTGATTGAATGAAATCTGAAGACGTCAAACACTTCGTCCACGGCTCGTACACAGTCTGAAAAATAAATGACTTTTCCAAAGATTTTTCAAACATTATTTTTTTAAAGACTATAATCAGACATCTCATTTATCAACCTGTTTTTTTTTTTTTTCAAATTTGAAACGGGTAAAATTATAAAATGGTACAAATAAAATGCTGTAAATGCAAAGTTTGCTATGACTGTGGCCACTAATGGGAACATTAAAGAGCTTTAGTGGATGGAAGAGCCAACAGAGAGAGGGTATAAACTTTTACCTGATTCTTATTGTAATATATATTGTGATTCTTATTGTAAAATGCTAAACTTTTTCATTATAAATAATTGCAATCTAATGACGTTACCCTGCAAAAACTGATTTCTCTCTTGGTATTTTGTGTTGTTTCCAGTCCAAATTTAAAGTATTTCACAATTTGCAGACAGAAAGCATCTCCTGCAGAGAGAACATGTCTGGGAACCCCTGCATCTTACACTGTTCGTCCACGAGGGGGCGCCGTTGCGTCATAAATGAGCCAGCTGGACCTACCTCCAAAATAAAAGCTTTAAGGTTTATCTCCTGCAAGTGAAGAAATGAGGACAAAAGTATTGTAATTTCCTTACTGTATCGTATGAAACATTTGATTTACATTCATTCTACCATATAAACACTATTACTGTCATAGAAATAAAAAATGTATAATTATATTTTTCTAATTTTTTGGCTCCCTGAAACACAATTGTGAATGTAACGTAGATGCTCAATCATGAGTCAAGTTCAGGTGCGAGTCAATGCTATTCCTGTTCAGTTTGCACACTGAATTTAAAGTATCAGATCAATGAATTTAACTTTAAAATGTACAAAATGTTGTTTTGTGGGAGCATGACCCCTGCAGACTCACACCATCCTGTGGGAAACACTCCTGTCTTTATTCCAGCTTAGTATATACAATATGGGGTTTTTAGTAAAGCTGTTTGAGCCAAATTTCTCTCCAATCTTATGTAAGTTAAATATAGTTGTATATATTGTTACAATGATATAGTTTGTCCCTCTTTACATTGCAGAAGAGAGAGAGACCTGTATTTTGAAACGACCGGAAGCCGGTCTCGTTGTTCTGGCTTCACCGAGCAGCTTCACGTGTTCCGATCACTGCAGACAGACTCTAAAACATGACGCATCTGGACGGGATCGTGTAAGTAAACTATCAAAACTCCACATTCCCCTGTTGTCGCTGTAGTGAACGTGTGTTTAGCAGGACAGTTTGTGTGTGTGTGTGTGTGTGTGTGAGATCAGGAGCAGGGCGAGTCTTCGCCGGAGACACGAGAAAATAACGTGCCGTTCACTGTGTTCTCTCGGTGTCACATGGATATACTTTGTTATTGTGTGCGCGCGTGTGTGTGTGTGTATATTATACAAAAGAGAGAGTAACGTTAGGGACAGTAAGTTACAAGTCAGTGAAAAGAGCCCATGAACACACACACACACGTGTGAAAGTCAGTGTGTGTGTGTTGTTCATTCAGTAAAGATACCATGAAAACACACACATTAGAGAGAGTATAGGGACAGAATAAGTGACTGTAGAGAGCCCATGAAAACATACACACGTGACAGTCAGTGTGTGTGTTCCTCCAGTAAAGACCCCATGAACACACACATTAGAGAGAGTATAGACCCCTTTTGCGCCGACGTCACAGTTACGTCACGGCGCTAGCTGGAGGCAAAACAAAGTGTAAACTGGAGGCGGCCAATGCAAACCAGCACAGATTCGGCTACATAATAAGGAGCTTTAATAATTGTTACCAGGGCTGGACTGGGACAAAAAATCAGCCCTGGACACTTCATCCAGACCGGCCCACTATGCACACACACACACACACACACAAACACACACACATCTATACGTGCATTAATCTGCATGTAAAATTACTGATTAGATTTTATTTACTATCAGAACCAAGAAAAAAATATTAAAATATAAACAAATAAAATGGAAATGATTTTTATAAGGCTTTATTGTAAATAACTGGTCTTAATTTGTGCCGCTTATTATTCTAATAGAATATTCTTAGGCTATATACTATATAAACTATATTTCATGAGGTGCAACATCACTGCCAGGACCTGGCAGTGATGTTTCACCTCATGAAATATAGTTTATATAGTATACCTATATTTCATTTATACTATATCATTTATATAGTGTATATATATATATATATATATATATATATATATATCATTGTTAAAGCTATTAGTCAAGAGCAGTGAGTTATCTTTGTCTTTTGTTCACATTTAGCCTATGACACATAAGGCTTCTGCCAGGCACTTTCAGGGATACAAATTGAAAAAAAAAAAATATATATATATATATATATATATATATATGTGCATATTTATATGCAAAATACTCCTTTCTATAGCTATTTGAAAGGTATGCAAGTATGCAAAATACTCCTTTCTATAGCTATTTTTCAAGTCAACTATGTGCTATTGTCATTAAATGGCTTTCCTGAGGTAACTGTAACGTTCTGTGACATAATTGTTCTCCTGCTGTTTTATTAATCTCTTTCCGTTGTTGAAAAGCACTGATTGATATTATTTACGAGGCATATACCGTTTGATAAGTTGTAGGCTATTGTATCTTATCTTTAAATAAAAGTAACAGATGATCGGTTTACTTGAACTGAGGCGCTAAAGCGACCTGTCACGTTATTTTCTAGCGGCAAAACAGTATTGTCTGAATTCGTAATAAAATGGACAGAACCAGAGAGCTGAGAATTTTAAATGTCATTTATATCGATCAGTGAGTGGAGGCCTATTACAGCTGGAATATCGTAACATGCTTAAACAAAACAATGCAGAAGGCTACGTGTAGCCTATCATTCTAATGTCTCACCTCAGCAGCCAGGCGCGCCCTGCTGACATCTTCACTAAAGTCCAGCAAATAATTCATTTATTTTAACACATTTGGTGGCATCTGCCTCAAGTTATTGTCGTTGTCTTGTCGTTTTCTCTCTCGACTTCTCGGTCCCCTTTACGTTTAGAGATGTTACTCTTTTGACATGAATTTCGTTGCACATCATCACATCGCATCACTGCAGTTGTTGTAAAGCGGCCGCTTTTCAAGTCTAGATTTGAACTTGATTCCGATTGGCCATCAGACCTGTTAGTCTCGCAGCTCGCGTCAGCTTCATGCGGCTTCATGAGAGAGACACATGCCCGGAATTGGACAATATAACAATATACTTACGATAGAATAGGCTATATTTACAATTAATAATGATTTAAAAACAAAATACATAACGCGCCGGGCCGCCGGCCCAACCAGACCGCGGCCCACCGGGAATGTCCCGGTAGTCCCGATGGCCAGTACATGCCTGATTGTTACTATTATTAAATGTCATCTTGTTGTGTTGTTTGGTGCAAGAATTGATGAAAAATGAATATGCTGTATCTGGAACTGTTATTTCTAGAAAATATTCACATGATTAAAATCTCACTGTAATGTCACTGTTTACATTGTCGTGGTCTCGGCGCTGAACTGCGGATCGTACACACAAGTCTTTTACAGGACCATATAGGCATCTAAAGATTTATATTATGATCAGTTTCTCTATAAGGTAGGTGTAGAAGTCAGGCCACTCACCCGAGGTAACGTACGTTAATCCTGTCAGATCGTCCATGCATCGAGTGAGCGTGTAGGCGGCTACGGGTCGACCAATCTGGTTCTGTCCGTTAAAAATAACTTTTGGAAATAACTATCGCGGTCCTGGACACTGAGTGACCTTACACATTAAGATAAAATCGGATTTTCTCCAGTCATTGTTAAAAAAACAATCTAACAATCCTTGCTAACTAGCGTTAGTGAAGCGGCCAGAGGGATCGTTCTGCCTCCACCTAAGCTCCGCCCATGAAAAAACGTCACCATGTTTACCAACTGTAAAAGGGTCTATAGGGACAGTATAAGTGTGTAAAGAGCCCATGAACACACACACACATGCGTGACAGTCGGTGTGTGTGTTTCCCCAGTAACGGCTAATATAGTGTGTGTGTGTGTGTTGGTCCAGTAAGGCGAAGACGCGGCGCGCTAAGCGTTTCCTGCAGAGCCGCGAGCCGAAGCTGACGGAGGGCCTGAAGAACTGCATGATCATTAAAGGCGGGAACACCAGCGAGACGCTCTCTCAGGCCCTGAAGGACGTGGTGAGTTACGGTCTTCATCATCCTCCTCTTCATCAGCTGGGGGTGTGTGTGTTCATCATCCTCTGTGTGTGTGTTTCAGTACGCGCTGAAGAAACCCAATGCTGTGCTGTATAAGAAGTAAGTGTCCTCCTGATGGCTTCACACTGATCTCCTCATTAAACCGAAGCTTCAGCTCTTTCATATATAATATCATATATAACACCCGAATCAGGCTCATCTGGGCTTTGATATTATAGCGATGTGAACGAGTTCCTGTAAGATTACAGCATTAGCAGAGCGATTTATCTTAATTAAACGTAATTATAACCGATTTAATTGAAGGACAGACACAATTATGTTGAGTTCAGCAGTGTGTAATAGTAGAACAGCTGTTGTGTGTGTGTGTGTTCTGTCCGGCCGAAGTGTGATCTGTGTACGCTACACCGCTAATAGACTAGCGTAGCACACGGCGAATCAGGAGCGAGGAGTCACTTCTGTAGGAGACACTCACACACACACACTGCCTGAAAGATCATATCTCATGTGTGTGTGTGTGGTGCTGACAGGAAGAACATGGTCCGGCCCTTCGAGGACTCCACGGCTCTGGTGAGATCATGCTTCACACTCGTGTGTGGTGTGTGTGTGTGTGTGTGTGTGTGTGTGTGTGTGTAACCGTCCTGTGTTTGCTCTCCTCAGGAGTTCTTCTCCAAGAAGTCCGACTGCTCCCTGTTTCTGTTCGGCTCACACAACAAGAAGAGACCCAACAACCTCATATTCGGTGTGTGTGTGTGTTGTGCTGTGTGGGTTTACATTTATTCATTTAGCAGATCATCGAAAATGTCGCAAAACAATTGGCTTTCCAATTTCCAAACAAAATTTTATCCAAAGCGACTTACAAATGAGAACAAAAGAAGCAGATAAACTAACAGCAGGACAATAATAACCCCTCTCAGATTCATTCTAGTTGAACTCACTTTAATGCGAAGTTGTCCAAGCAGGAGAAGAGGATCAGTTGATTAATGTGTGTGTGTGTGTGGTGTGTGTCCTCCACAGGACGCATGTTCGACTTCCACGTGCTGGACATGTTTGAGCTGGGTGTGGAGCAGTGTGTGTCTCTGAAGACCCTGAAGGTGAGCAGCCGTGCTGGTGTGTGTGTGTGTGTGTGTGTGTGTGTGTGTGACGGGAGTGTAACGTGAGCTGTGTGTGCAGAAGGACACGTGTCCCGTGGGAACTAAACCCCTGCTGGTGTTTGCCGGAGAGCTGTTCGACACGGACCGCGAGCACCAGCGCCTGAGGAGCGTCCTGACAGGTGCGTCTCACACACACACACACACACACTGTATCTGATGTTTGATCAAGACTTCATCAGGTCTCTTGTGTTGGACTCATGTCTCATGCACGTTATGGCGATAATCCAACTTCCTGTGTGTTAATTGGCATCAGCCAATCAGAAGGCAGCATTCAGACCAGCACTTAAACACAGACCGGTTCAGAATCGGTTCACTCCGAGCAGAATCCGTATTTTAACATTTGTTAATTTTCTGTGTTACTGCTCTAAATCCGGTGCGATTAGAAAAAAATACTGGTTGATGAACTACCACACAAATAAAGGACAAACTGTCAAGGGTTAAAGAGAAATCAAGGCACTTCTTCAATGGATTTAACATTTGCTGTGGTTAAAAATAATATAAACAAAGTCTTTCATGTTTTTATATAGTGATGTATATTTCATGTTTAGGCAAAATATTTTCACAGGTTTCAAAATTAAAATAAATTTCTGAAGCACAATTAAAAACTACTGTTGACCAGTTTTCTGTAAAAAATGAAAACCATTAAATAAAGAATGGACAAAGACAGAAGTGAACAACAAAGCAGAAATAGACATTTAACTCATCCGTTATAAGGCAGATCAAGTAACTTTGATTTAAAGATATAGGAGGATCTTTTGTGATGTCATTGTTTACGTTTGTCGCGTTGCATCATGGGAATCGTGTGGCAAGAAACACCGCTAGATACCTGTAATTTGATTGTTTTGCACGTTTGGAGGAGGATTTAGAAAAGAGGATGGTTCACTCTTGCTGTGTGGTCGATTGTAAGGTTGTTGGGGGCCTGATAAAAAAGTTTTTCATTTCATTTTAAATAAATAAATAAATAAGAACACTGATCAATGAAGACTCACCCGGCTTTGCAGTCGCAGTGAGCAGTGATTATTTCTCCGTTCTGCCATCACCCACGCTGTGACTCTGGCCAGGTCTAACCTCTGCTTTAACAGACTGATCTCATGAAATGGCGCATGTATAACACGCCAATTTGTATTTCCAATACGCATAATCGCTTTTCAGCGTGTTTATGAATGCCATTGACTTAATGTTACATTACTGTATTTAAATATGACCTACACCTACCCCGTCACTGTGGCTAATACCATTTATGAGCCTTCCCCTACCATCCTAGGAAAAAATATCGCTACCCAGATGTAGATCTACATTTTGCTTCATTTACATACACGCATAGCTCAAAATGCATAAAGATAACATGCCACTTGATTTGAAGCAAAAGTCATGATGTCATGTTGCTTTTAGCACTATCACTGCTTTCTGTTTGGCAGAAAAGATCGGCCCAACTTTTCGAGAAATAAAATAATCATAGGCCTCCCGACTTCTGAAAGCATTTAATCTTTCATGAGTGAAGGGTCCAGGGGTTTCTATTAAATAAGAATAAATGTCTCCCCAGCAGATTATAGTGGCCAAGACACGGGCGAGTCGGACCGACGTCTTTTGACATCCCAAATCACATATGGGCTTTGAATAACTTCAATTTTGTCACCAATACAAATTTTGAGCTTCTCTCCAAACCTCAGATATTAAAGTGCTTATATATTGTGGATTTTGCCTGCTAAACTCTCTTGAAAGTGCTTGTCGTGTCTTTACAGCCGCTCATTCTATTGTTTTCTTGCCACCCAACGACTCGCGCATGCGTACAATGATGTCAACAAAGATCCTCATATATATTCTGATTGGAGCTGGAAGACGCCGGTCACCGCTGGACGCTAGTCTGGTTTCATGGTTGGTCAGCATTGTCGGGTGCTAACCATGCAAACTTTCACCCAATCAAAGCAGTTTAAAGTGTGCTCTGTGGCGCCCCCATGTGGACCTGCTGTGGCGACCCGTCTGAGGCGCAGTAATTAACTGTACACTACATACGAGTGAATACACGAGCTGCAGCATTTTACACATGTGATCATAACCAGATGTAGGCCGTGTTGATTATTCGAGTGTTTCCTCAGGTCACATGACCGTCCTCTCATCTCTCTCTGTGTGTGTGTGTGTGTGTGTGTCAGATTTCTTCTGCGGTCCGCGAGTGTCTGCGGTGCGTCTGGCTGGACTGGAGCACGTACTTCACTTCACAGCGCTGGACGGCAGGATCTACATGCGCAGCTACAGGTGACACACACACACACACACACACATGTAAGTGTGTATCTCCCTCAGTTGTTCAGACTGCTGAATGACTAAAGAAATGTCATCAGTAAGATGGTGGAGAAGTGTGTGTCTTGTCCGTCTCCACACACCGGTAACACCAGCGACAGGGATTAGCGCAGCTATATATTGCTATGTTTAGCACTGCAAAGTCAATACCTAATGAAAGCTAGTTAGCACATCATGTAATTAAAAGGGTGTAATGACAGTATGGTCACGGTTACACTTAAAGTACTTACAAAATAGATGTATGAGATGATGAGAGAGAGAGAGAGTAAAAGTCACAATCATCTTTTTAGCCCAAATGTGAGCTGTTCAAACTGACCAATCAGCTGATTACATCTTCCCCCGTTGTACTGAAAGTGTGACGACTCACACACACACACACACACACACTCCTGACCGCAGTGTTCCCACAGGGTGCTGCTGAAGAAGTCGGGCTGCCGGACGCCCCGGGTGGAGCTGGAGGACATGGGCCCGTCCTTCGACTTCACCATGAGGAGGAGTCACATGGCCTCAGACGACCTGTACAGAACCGCCCACAGGAAACCCAAAGGAGTGAAGGTCCGACACACACACACACACACACACATGGTTATTATATATAGATATTTCCCTGTTTGTGCCCTTCATTTACTCACTAATGGAGAATTGGCCTCTGAAAACATTTCCTTCTACAAACTCTGGCCAGAGTGGAGATTTTGGAAAACGTTGTTTGCATGTAAACGGATAAAAGCTGAGTTTTAGGCAGGTGACAGAACCTACACTGCGTCAAACGACCACCTGTTGATTTGGCTTTGGTGATCATGTGTTCAGAGGAGCTGTCAGTCATGTTGATATCACTGTTCTACACACGACTGCTCAATGGAAATATAATACAATTAGAAAGTGAAGTTTTTGAGGATTATCACATTTTCCTCATGTTCATTTTAACAGTAAACCTCTGTTGTGCAGCACCTGCTGAAAGATGATATAAGGAATTGTTCAGTTTCAATAACTTTCATAATTTTATTCACTTTTAATCATCTGTGTTAAATTGTGTAATTTTAATTAGGGCTGACACCAACAACTATTTTTGTACAGATTAATCTATCGGCTAATTTGATGAATCTAAACAATTCATTTTCCACCAAAAAGCAACAATTTTACTTGAACATTTTATTTAACTTGCATCTCTGGCATTCAGTAGTGTAGCATAAAAAATATATAAATGTAAAGAAGTATAACTAAATGAAAGAAAATATAAATGTAAAGAAGCCCTTGACAAAATTTAAAGCAGTATAATGTACAAGAGAACATTTGTAAACAAACATAACAATAATAATTAATTAATAATAGTAACAGAAGTCCGAGTTGAGCCTGTTCTGGGCTTGTGTTCATCACTGCTGGAGTAACGACATGGATTACTTAAGTAATGGAGTAATCAGATAATAATGAAGACAGATCCAAGTACACAGCAGCCTTTGATTCTTTACTGGAACTAAAATACAAATATACAATAAGCAGTAATCAAAGCAATGATAGTGAGGGGTTTGATCTGTGTACGAGCTCCAGATGATGCTCCTGTGACAGTCGTGTGCTTCTTCATCTCACCCTCAGCCCAAGAAGAAGAAGAACATCTCCCATGATGCCTTTGGCACCAGGTTTGGCCGCTTACACATGCAGAAGCAGAACCTGGACAAACTGCAGACGCGCAAGATGAAGGGCCTGAGGACGAGGAAGAGGAGAGGAGAGCCGGCCGAGAGTGTGTCCCCGAAGACGGCCAAGACTGATGTCTGAACACACACACACACACGACACTGCGGACTGATGGAGTGTGTTTTACACTTCAGAGCTTTCACACACCTTCTCTACCAGATCCTCATGGAAATATGATGCAATAAACAGATTTTTCCAGATAAGGTGTGTGTGTGTGTGTGTGTGTGTGTGTGTTCAGACTAATCATTCATCTTCTGTCCCAGAAACAGAAATAACTGGAGTCACTCATTATTTTTCTTGCAAATGTGAGTCTGATCTGCGATCTGGATGATTATTTACCTCTGAATAGTGAAACTAATGACCACTAAACTGACAACAAACTGAAATATATTATAAATATATTGAGATAATATATTTATATTTAAAAGTTTTGCATATTGCTTATTGTAAAATTTGCAAAAATTCACTTTTATAAGGTGTTTGAACACAGTGTGTGTTAACAACCAGCCTATAATGGTAAAAAATCCACTGATACTTTTTTATAATCCCCATAAATCATCATCAATCTCTCAGAACGCTCGTATTTCCCCAGACTCCTACGCAAGAGTAGGTCATGTGTGTGTGATGCGTGTGACGTACAATAACAGAAGCTTACGCTATTAAACTAGTAACTTGAGGCAGAGGGAGAAATAAACCAATAGTTGAAATAAAGTCGTTATTTTTGTTGTTTTTTGCGAACAAAAAGTGTTCTCGTCGTTTGATAAAGTTAAGATTGAGCCCCTGTAGTCATTTGGACTATTTTAACGATGTCTTTAATGACTTTTCGAGTCATTCCCTCAAGAAGCCTATGGACTAGTATGCAGGAGCGATCTTAATATCTTAAATATCTTAATTTGTGTTCCGAAGATGAACGAAGGTCATACGGGGAATTTTCATTTTTGGGTGAACTAACCCTTTAACTTTGGGGAGTCTCTCTGACCCAGATGTTACCTTCTGAGACCCCTTTTCCACCAAGGCAGAGCTGGTGCTGGTTCGGAGGCAGAGCCTAGTTTCAAATCGGTTCTTTGTTTTTCGACCACCAAAGCACCAGCTCCGAACCAGTAGAAGTGGTTCTTAAAGTCGGCGTGAAACAGAAGTTGAGATGGTCATTTTTTCCTTGTCGTGACGTATGTGAAACGGCTTCTGAAATTAGAAAAAATGTAGGGCAGGGCTTGATTGGAGGTTGGGCGTTTCAAACAATTTGAATGCGATTCTCTGAGAGGTGGTGCACCGATAGCCGCACCTTCATCGGATCTGGCCGCACCCTTTTGCCATTCCACGTGACCAAAAGAGAGAGAGGTCGTTTCGAAGGGGGAGGGTAGGTTAATTTATTTGATTAAAGATTTCAAGGGTACATGAATTTAAGAAAAATAATGAAGTGCACGGATAAATCATTTATAATAAACAGTACAATATTACATATAAAAAGAAGATTTGTCAAATTTGATTTCATGCCGACTTTAAGTAGCACCAAATCATTGCTGGTCGAGAAGTAAGAACCGCTTACGTCAGCGGCTGGGGGCGGGGTTACCATGACCAACAAGACAAATAGAAACTTGTGACCGTCATTTTTTAAATAGCAGCTAATCATGCTAATAGAAGCTCGATTGTAATCTCCGTTAATGCAAGTTACGGCGAGCTGCACAGACGTGCTGGATTCGCTGTGTTTGGATACCGATGTAGGTTTGCCAAGCCATGAGCATAAATAGTAACGCAACAACCGCCATTGTTGATGGAAGGCTTGTTCAAGATGCATCGGAGCAGCATGGACCAATCGGAGCTGCGGGAGTGTTTGGAGAGTTTACGACTCCTTTTGCTTTTGAATCTAATGTTTTTACATCGCTCTTGCAGTTCAAGATTCGCAGTGCCGATCCATCTCGAACAAGCCTGGTGTGTTTGTGTGTGCCATGCTAGCATTGCTGGGCAACATGAGATGTATACGGTGACGTAAGATCTGGCTCTGTGATGCTCTCTAGCCTGTGGAAAGGCAAACCGGTTCTTTGAAAGCTCGTCAGTCGTACCAACTCCGAACCGCCACTAGCTCTAGCTCTGAACCAGCACCTGGATCTTGTTGGTGGAAAAGGGGAATGAGTGTGTGCCTTACATGAGCCAGTCTACACCCTTTTATCTGCTCTGCCACTAAAGGATATCTTGAGGAATTGAGGGCCATTGCTGAACAAAGAGGAAAGCTTTTCTTTCCAAAGTCTGCTTTAAGAGGAATTGGAGAAACCCATTCTGAAAATCAAGCAAGAATCTCAGCAAGCGTGCTGTCATGGTTCTTGCAGAGGCGAGGCCACCGCCGCCCAATCATCAATAAGTACTGTAGCCCCATGACTAAAGTAAAAGTGACTCCAACTCAAAGCTCAGAACCTTAAAAATCAAACCAAGAAAAAAAAACGAAAATCTTGTCTCCCCCTTCTCCAGAAACTACCACTGATTATATTACTGTGACAACCTTTCACAAATATTGTGGACCCACCGAGGGTCCAGAGAATGCTGGTTGAACAGACAAGCGAAGCTCCCCTGTCACAGCAAAGCTCAGTCTGTCTGAGGGTTTTCTCCTCGTCCCCCCAACGAACCAGATTTAGACACCTGGTGTGCAAGTGTCGACTTCTTGTTTAGTGACCCTTCCATATCTGACCAGCACAGAACACGAAACATCCATGATAGCCTCTGACCTCCAACTGCTGATATTATAAAACATGTGTGCCCTCCAGCCCTACCTGCTGTGTATCGTGAGCTGTTGAGGACAGAAACCAACTGTTGGCCAAGCTCATGAGCACTTTCTTAATGAGCATCTTTCTCATTAGCATCTTTTACACTAGATAGAGATGTCTTATCGATCACAAGTTCAGTATGGAGTACCACAAGGCTCAGTACTAGGAGCGCTGCTTTTTACTCTGTACATGCTACCATTGGGAGATATCATTATGAAGCATGGCGTTAGTTTTCACTGTTATGCTGATGATACTCAGCTGTATATTTCTTCACGACCTGATGACACTCACCAATTCACAAAATTAACGGAATACATAACTGATATAAAAAAACTGGATGACTAGTAATTTCCTACTACTAAACTCTGAAAAAAAAAAAAACAGATTCTAATTATTGGACAAAAAACCTCCTCACTTTATAACCTAAGACAGTGTTTCCCAACCCTGTTCCTGGCGGCACACCAACACTGCGTGTTTTCTTTGTCTCCCTTATCAAACACACCTGACTCAACCCATCAGCTCATAATCAGGTGGGTTAATGAGCTGATGGGTTGAATCGGGTGTGTTTGATTAGGGAGACAAAGAAAACACGCAGTGTTGGTGTGCCGCCAGGAACAGGGTTGGGAAACACTGACCTAAGATACTGTCTAACACTCGATCAAACCTTCGTCGTCGGTTATGAACCTCGGTGTGCTCTTTGATACCAATCTTTCATTTGAAAGTCACGTTTCTAGTATCTGTAAAACCGCATTCGTCCATCTTAAAAATATAAATAAATTACGTCAAATGCTCTCAGTGACAAATATATAGGGCCTAACAATTAGTTGGTGGCTTGTTTCTCGCCATCATTTTCTTCCTTTTACCTCTTTGTTTTATGAGCAGGCAATCTTGAGTTTGGTTTGAACGACGGTGCGTTGTGTAAGAGCGTTCTCTTGTGATCAGCAAAAATGTAAAAAATATTTGTTTACAAAAGTTACCTACAGCCGCTTTAAATGATACTGTGCTAATTCTTGAGAAATATATTTGGAAAATGTGATTGAAGTGATAAATTAACTGTTGATGGCACGTTCAGGAAGACCAGGAAGATGGATCAGGCTTAAACTCTATTTATTTACGAACAAGACACATACCAAACTTAGCAAACCGTGTAGATGAGAACCAACCAGGGAGACTATATACACAGACACATGAGGAGACTTAAGTGACAACAGCTGCACACAGTGAGTGATGATGATGTCTGTGATGAGGATGATGACAGGTAACACATGAAACTGATTAACAATGAAACACACACCCGCCAAAACAAAGACAGGTGTCACAGTGACAGTAACGCAGCTCACGCGGAGTGTTTGCGAACCATGCGGGCGCGTGCAACGAGCTATAAGGTAATTGAGTGCATGTCATTGTAAGACGTCATATTTAGCCCATAGTTGTGCTTCTACTTGGATTGAAAATGGAAAGAAGCACTAGTAGTAAATGTGTATTTATATTCATTTTGAAGGATTTGTTGTGATAAAAAGTATCATTATTTTTTTCAGTGTAAGTTTTACAATCAAAAACTGTTAAGTCTGATTCATATGAAATATTATTTGTGCGATCAAGTGTTTTTACCGATAAATCGTCTGCTGGGCAATTAACTTTTAAATTTTAAAAGTTTTATTTAATAATTAGCTATAATGCTCTGTACACTGAAAATTAACTAGAATATTAATTTGATGAACTATTACTCAATTCTAATTTGTTCGATTTAATAAATAATATTGCTTGTAATATGTTGCCACAATTTTATTGATTAGATAAAGCATATTCATTTTGCGGAATGATACAAACAGGGAAAAGAGCTTATATAAATATCAGTACACAAAACGCTGCACAGCCAATCACATTCGAGACCAGGAACTAGTATGAGCGTCAATAGAGTAAGATGATTTTCCTGATGGTTTATAGTTTTCAGCATCCACCAGCAGAAGTGACTGGACAAGGAGAGGCAGCTAAGTGATATCTGAGACATTACACGTGCGATTTAATTCCCTAACAGTGTGAAGGCCAATAAATAGTTCCTTATAACTGGTCAGTGTTTATGTTGCTCGCGTTTGTCGAGATTCCGCGTGTGCAGCACTGACACTAGAGCGCGCGCGCGTGCCGCGGACGGTGACGTACTGCACTGCAGGAGTTACTGGAGTCTTAAAAAAAAAAAAAGAGTTACTGGAGTCACATTTACTCGGGGTGCTTATAAACACACTCCTATTGTGGTGCCAATGATCATCCCGTCCCTCTCTGTGAATAAAGCACAGGAGTGACCGCGCGGACAGATGCAGCTGTTGCGTGCGCGTGCCCGTGCAGGACAGATGTGCTCCATCAAGACTTCTCCAGGAGGAGACTTCATCTGATCCACTCTCGGGCGGAGGGTCTGCCTTCGGCCCCGCCTCCTGCAGCTCATATGTATTTATAGCTTTATTGCTACAGTGTAAGTCGTCAGCGCAGTGTATTTGCATTCACAGCGGACTCAGAGGAGATCCACACGCGATCAGCATGACTGAGACTCAGTCCGACTCCGAGCCACACACGATCAGCATGACTGAGACTCACCCCGACGGCGAGCCGACTCCTGCCGCGGCCGCGCCGGAGGAGAAGCAGCAGGAGAACGGCGGCTCCGGGGTCTCCGAGGCGCCGGCGGAGTTCGAGCCCCCGGAGGGCGGCTGGGGGTGGGTGGTGATGCTGGCCTCCATGTGGTGCAACGGCTCGGTGTTCGGCATCCAGAACGCCTTCGGTATCATGTTCGTCGCGCTGCTGAAAGAGTTCGGCTCCGACAAGGACAACGACGAAGACCTACGCTTCAAAACAGGTAACAGCCATTTCCGTGAACGCGGGGCGCGTGCGATTCAGTCGCTCCTCCACGTGTTGGTGAAGGGGCTCGGGCGCGCGTCACCGCGGAGCTCTCCTGACTCACTGCAAGTGTGTGTGTCCGCACAACCCTTCAGCTCTGTCTGCTTCTCTCTCACACACACACACCGGGGATAGTTGTCACACTTAGTCAATGTTTCTCAGTGCGAGTTGAGTTAGTTCCGTTTTTGGCTACACTTTATTTTACAGTGTCCTTGTCACGTATGTTACATGCCATAGCAGGCCTAATAACAGTAAATTATGCACAATTACACGCAAATAAACCTCATCCTATCCTAACCCTAGGCTACATGTAGTTGATTAATATTACTCAGTACACTGTAACAATGAATGACACCTTAAAATTACATGAAGTGTAACCCTAATTACTGAGTAATATTAATTAACATGTACCTACTATAGGGTTAAGGATTGTTTTAGGTTAATTACATAACATAAAAATACTTAGATATTTTCTGTTATTACCACTGTAAGTGCACGTAGCAGCACACACCCCTACAAAATCATAGACTAGGGAAAATACAGTTTACTAAACACACACAGTGTGAAACATGTCAAACAATAGGCCAATATGGAGATCTGCCATCACACTGTCTGTGTAGGCTTATTAGTCAAGCACAAACAACTAAATAAACTTACTAAATGTAGATTTATGTTAAATCATAGTTTGGGCCAACAGAAACAAAACCCTGAAACTGACTTGAGTTTACAGTCTACTCTCTTGTACACAGTTATTGTATAAAAACCCCATGCAAACTCATGATAATATTGGTGTTTTAGTTCAACCAGTTTAGTTTTAGTTTTGAGCAGCAGTGGAGATGAGTGTGTGATCTGTAAAGCAGCAGTGCTGAGCCGGAGAGATCGCTGGTGCTGTTATTGAGCTGAATGTAGAGAAATGAGTCTGTTTTGACAGATCAGACGGGTTCAGACGGGACTGGTCATGGCAGAAGATGTTTCTCGCTGGCGTCTGTCAATGATTCACTTCCCCTGTTGATGATCAGTGGTGTGCGGGCTGAAGCTGAAGCTGAAGCGCACGTGTCAGTGTTGCTGGAAGAACGGCCTTTAAAGCGTGTGCGGTGTGTGTCATAGTTAACAGAAGTTATGAGACCTTACGGCTGCACATATAGTGGTGTCGTCATGTGTGTTTAGCAGTTCTGTGTGGATCCTGCGTGAGTGTGTGTATGAGCTCATCTTCATCTGAGCGGTTAAACACATCATGATATGAAGAGCTGATGATGATGACATTTCTCGTCATCTTACACTGAGCGTTACTATAATAAGCTTATTGTCGTCACAGCTGAAGTGTGTTACGCTCATTAACTCCACAATAGGGTTAGTTCAGCTGTGACGCGTTGAGATCTGGTCTTAAGGTGCCATTAAAGCTGTGCTTCGTAATGCTGCTGAAGATTGCATCATGATCTCCACCTGTCACTCGTCGCTCTCTCTCACACACACACACACACACTCATGCCAGCACCGGTCAGAGGTCATGTTCCACATCTGCCGTCTGACACAACGGCTCCACCAAATCTCACCAACCATAAAAGCAGAAGAAAACTACTGTTATACAAACTGCAAACCTGCTCAGGGCTGCTCGAGTCCAGTCAGACTCGACACACACTTACATTTAGATAGATAACAGAAATATGCTCTGAGAATGTTTGCTAATTCTCCCATGGAGTTACGAAAACTTTATTTCTGAAAACATACAGATTTTAAATGTAAAATAAACATTTCTTGATTATATGGATATACGTTCCATTGTATCATCTTGTTATATTTGCATGTTTTCTGAATGCTCTGGAATGGTGACATTAAGGAGCCACTTTAAAAAAAACAGATGAACTTTACAGGGGCAACATTCCTGTCTCATTCCTCAGATTGTTGCACTTTACTTTACAGTTCTTCCCTAAGACAATACTAGGTAACATCTGCATAACATGTCAGATGGCTACACTGTATTTGAAGGTGTCAGTGTTACAGTCTAATTACTGATTAATAATAATGAACTACATGTACTCTAAGCATAAGATATTATAAACATCACACATTTCTGTAAAGCTGCTTTGAAACAGTGTGTATTGTGAAAAAAGCGCTGTATATATACAGTAAATTTGACTTGACTAGTTCCAAAGACATGCCTGAGTGTTCAGAGTCCAGCCAGAAGTCCTTGGCAACCCCCTAGCAACCACTCAGAGGACCTAGCAAACACTCAGAGCACCTAGCAACCACTCCTCAGAGCACCTAGCAACCACTCCTCAGAGCACCTAGCAACCACTCCTCAGAGCACCTAGCAACCACTCGGAGCACCTAGCAACCACTCCTCAGAGCACCTAGAAACCACTCAGAATACCTAGCAACCACTCAGAATACCTAGCAACCACTCCTCAGAGCACCTAGCAACCACTCAAAACACCTAGTAACCACTCCTCAGAGCACCTAGCAACCACTCAGCACCTAGCAACCACTCCTCAGAGCACCTAGAAACCACTCAGAATACCTAGCAACCACTCAGAATACCTAGCAACCACTCCTCAGAGCACCTAGCAACCACTCAGCACCTAGCAACCACTCCTCACAGCACCTAGCAACCACTCAGAGCACCTAGCAACCACTCAGAGCACCAGCAACCACTCCTCCTCCTCAGAGCACCTAGCAACCACTCCTCAGAGCACCTAGCAACCACTCAGAATACCTAGCAACCACTCAGAATACCTAGCAACCACTCCTCAGAGCACCTAGCAACCACTCAGAGCACCTAGTAAACACTCCTCAGAGCACCTAGCAACCACTCAGCACCTAGCAACCACTCCTCACAGCACCTAGCAACCACTCAGAGCACCTAGCAAGGTCGACATCTGTTTAATCTCCTTCATACCTCTGAAACTGCATCAGGCCTGTGTACGCAGTGCAAGCAAGACTTTCAGCGTTTGATTGTCTTGCGAATGTTTATTTTGTAAATGATCCTGATTTGACTGAGCATGTGCAGTAGAGCAGCTTATCCTGTCGTCATGTTCATGATCTCCCCTTCACAGACCCTGTTAGGAGTGTCTCTGGGGGGCTTTGGCCTACAGATGACTGGTGTAATGATGTTAGACGTGCACGTCTGTTTCCTCCGTCTCACACAGAGACTCAGGAGCTTCATTAGAGCCAGTCTAGTTGACCTGAGGAACATGTGACGTTCAGAAGTTACTTTTCGCTCTTTGAAAGTATGAAATTAGAAATACATGAGTAGCGATATACTGTTATCGAACATCTGCTGAGAGCGACGGTTCGATGAATATGTAAATATGTGCTGCGCTCTTTCCTCTCAATGACACAAGAAACTCAAGTAAACAGCAAGCATTTTATCAATAAAGCATAAGAAAAGCACTGATTATAGCAGCGTGAATATGTTTGTTTGCACTATAAGTCACGTAATGTTTATTTAAATACCCCTTCATTCAGTAGACTGCTTCAAGTCAAGCAGCTGCTCGATGTACAAGTTTACTTCATTGTCTCCTATAAAGCAGCAGCTCTCCAGTGTGTTCATGTTTAGACTCGCGTCTGATCTCGACCGACTCAACTGACGAAGTTAACCAGAAAAGAAGTCACGTGAAAGAAGCCACACCCACTTATTACATAACCGCCACAGGGAGTGCAGGTTTGCAACCGTTTCAAACTCCAGCTTGTATATGAAAAAATAAGTGAAAGTGGTTTATTTTTAGTTGCTTTACCAGTTCTGATGTCCATTTTCAGTGGGAAGTCCTATTTAAGAGTTTTAAATCATCTTTTAATGCCAAGGTGTCAAATATCAAGTTTTATTTTCAATGAGAATCTTTCAGGGTTGTAGTCTTGAACGGTCAGATTTAGCTTTAATCTCATTGCTGTCTGTGTGGAAATGGAAATGTGAAGCGTGATCAGTTAGTTGCCATCTACTGTACATTATTCAGTGTGTGTGTTTCCTGATCACGACCACACAGATGACATCATCACAGCATTCACCGCCACAGAAACGTGAGTGACGTGGGTTTGTTCGTACAGTAGCGGCTGCAGACTGCTGTACATGAGCGGCTGGTGAAACAGCTGTCAGACGCTGAAGGAAGTCACACACACACACACACACACACACACACACACACACACACACACACACACACACACACAGGGAAGGTTTCTTCATCTCACCAGTTATTGCCTCAGTTCTTCTGCAGTCTCTGTCAAACATGTTTTAGCCATTGAACGTTTCCGAAGCAATTTCTCTGGAAAATAAAGAAAGTGAATTATGCGAATGTCATTACTGGTGAAGGCCAATAGCCTTCAAAACACTTTATGATTTGTAAACGAATATATTTTGGAGTTTGTGCATCACTTAACCAGCTCCGCAAGTTCGGTTAACTAAAATAATATGATAATATATAAATAATATGATAATGCATAAAAATAATAAGAATATGATATTTAACTAAAATAATATGATATGATAAATTATTATTTAACTAAAATAATATGATAATGCATTTTAAAAAGAAACGTGTTTATTTTATAGTCACAACAGAACAGACTGATGATAGTGGCATTACTTCAGTCACATTGTCAAAAGTTAAAAGGACAGTCAGTCGACTACACTGCAACAACGTAACGTAACTATTACTAGCCTACGCTATCTCACGACCAATTCGTACGAATTCTTACGAGTGATTCAAAAGTGGCTAATTCGTACTAATTCATACGACCTCACTCGTACGAATTTGTACGATTTGTCTAAACCCACGTGACGGTTATGTTTAGGGGCGGGGTCAGGGGTAGGTCATTCGTACGAATTGGCTAATTCGTTAAATACGTACGATTTAGCAAAATCGTTCTAATTCGTACGAGTGAGGTCGTACGAATTGTTACGAATTAGCCACCTCGTAAAATTTGTACGAATTCCCGTGAGATCGGGTTGTACTAGCTAATCCC